AAACCACCATATAAAAACCTTTTACGCAATGGTGAAGAATAACCATATTTACACATTAAACTATGATTTATGTAAGATACAACAAAAGCAATTAATAACAAAACTACCTACTATAAAGGCACACACTGATTATTATATAAATGAAAGAGAAGAACCGCCACAATACAAAATGATTAACTGTATAGATGATATACTTAAAATTGAAACTAATGATAAAACAAAGGAAATATATTTAGTGCCTGAAAATAATAATTTGGCAGAATTATTATTCCAGTTGTTGAATATTGGATATGAACCCAGAATTAAATACACAGGTATTATTGATGAAATAAGATTAAGATTGAACAAGATAACATATATCATAAAAACTCAAAATTTAATTAAATCTTCCGGCGATGGATGGATTGCAGTGAGCAATGAAACTACATACAACAATATGAACAAAGCAATGTTTAATTTCAATAAATCCTTATTCATATCATCACATAAATCCTTTTATAACGACATTGATATTAAAATATTAAATGAAACAAGAAGTATAGCACCTTCGGGTTTATTATCGAGTAATATTAATTTAGTTTATAAAACAGAAATAGATGTAAATAAAGCATTTACTAAAGGTTTTTTAAATATTAGGGAAATACCAGTATTTAACCAGTTTGACCATTGGAAAAAATACAACGATGAAATTAAAATAGATGAACTCCATGAATTAACTTTATATTATGTTGAAACTATAGATACAAATGTAAGACCATTAAAAACAACAATGGACAGCATTAAGGAACTAATAGAGAAAAATCAACACACCAAGCAGATGATATATTCTATTGCATATAGTAAAGGTATTGACGTTGCTACTTATATAGAATTTCGTAAAACACATGATTTAAGTTTGTTTTTAAATCCTGATGAATTAAAACAAGCAATTAGAAACATTGTAATAAGTGGTAATCACAACTTATTTTTCAACAAAAAATATAATCTAGTATATGGCAAGTTTTTGAAGGAATTCATCAATGAGAATAAGACACACAAAATCAATATTTTATATTATAAACAACCTTCATTTATTCATAAGGTTGAATATACAAATATTATTAATGAACTTTTACAAACAAATATAGATGAACATGACGAAGCATTAGATAAACTAATTAAAAAGTTAATAGCAAATGTAAATTTTGGATTATTAGAAAAAGGAGGTGCTACAGCACATCAAAGTATTTTATTTAAAAGTATTGATGAAGCAGTCCATTATCAAACAGAATACGGAGGTAAAATTAATAAGTTATCGCATATTATAAGCGAATATCCCGAAATGATAACCGAATATGACGACGAAGGAGGCGCAACTACAACATATTATGGATTTGATGAGGATGAATGGGATGTAAAGGCATCATATTATATATTGAATTTGAAGGATAAGGCAGTATTAAGAAACGGATATCGATATATTAAAGAATTACTTTTACAACATCACAATTTTAAAATGAACCAAGACTTTAAGACATTAATAACTAATAATATTAATGTATATAGTGTAAAAACAGATGCTTTTGTAATTGATACATGCAATGAAGAAAAAACAAAGCAATTATTAGAATTTCATGATGATATAGGAGGTTGGAAAGTTTCAAAGCAGAGAGATGAAATTAATTTACCTACAGTAAAATTTAACGTTGTAAATAATGAATTAATAAAAATACCAGTTTATGAAAGTAAAACTATTGATATTAAAGATGAATACGACACTGATAACATTATAGAGATTGTTAAACAGAATAATCCTATTATGATCAGAGGTGAACTACCGGGCACAGGAAAATCATATATATGTCAAAAAATGGTTGATAAAAATTATAAGGTAATTTTTATTTGTCCTACTAATAAACTATTACAGGCATTTGAAGGAGAAGCAATGACGATAAATAAATTCTTTGGTATTAATTATGGAGATGCTAAATTAGAACCATTTGATTTTACAGAATTTGATGTAATAGTATTTGATGAAATCTATTTTAGTAATTTAAATATATACTGGAGAATAAAACAATTTGTAGAGCAAAATAAGCACAACAAAATTATAATAGCAACAGGAGACACCAAGCAATTAAAACCAGTGCAAGAAATAACAAATACTCAAGACTATGAATTATACACTGACAATATTATAGATAATATTTTTACACATAATATAATATTGAAAGAATGTAAGAGACTTAACACACAGGAAGATAAGGATAAACTCAAGAATATAAAATATGATATTTTTATTAATAAATTACCAATTAAAACTATTATTGAAAAATATTTTGAATACACCCCAGACATAAGTAGTTCCAAAAACAACATAGCATTTTTGAATACAACCTGTAAAAATGTATCAAATGAAATTAGAAAGTTAGAAAATAGAAAGGATGAATATGAAGTAGGGGAATTTTTAATTTGTAGAGAATATACTAAAACTAAAACATCAGTTTTTAATGTAAATTTCAAATATAAAATAGTTCATATTGGAAGTGATGGAATATTTACATTAAAAAATGTAAAAACCGAAATTTTACAATCCGTAGAAGTTGCTAAAATAAGAAGCATTTTTATACTTTCTTCTTGCTCTACATGTCATTCTACTCAAGGTAGTAGCATTGATGACACCATAACAATTTTTGATTATAATCATTTTTTGGTAAAGAATTATCCAGAATGGATTTTTACAGCGGTAACACGTGCTCGTGATTTAAACAAAGTCAAATTTTATAAATACACAAAGGATGTTGATGATGTATTTAATCAAAAATGTATTATGAGTTATTTTGAAAGGAAAATTTTGAATTATAAGGAACAAGACAGGAAAGCAAAAAGAAGCATACCTAGAGAAGGTTATGTAAATACTCAATGGTTTCTAGATAATATAAATAATCAATGTAATTACTGCGGATGTGGTTTTACTATTGATATGAAAAATGGTAATATCATTACAAATCTAACAGCACAACGAAAAGATAATGAATTAACTCATACAATAGAAAATATCATCCCATTTTGTAAATTATGTAATTGTAGTTGTAAATGATGATAATTATAATTTAATTATGATAATTTAATTATAATTTTAATTTACTAATTTAATTTTAATTTAAAATTAAAATTCTTGTAAAAAGTATTTAAAGAAATATTTTATAATACTATTATATAGTGTGATGAGTGATACAGTCCATGATGCTAAAAATATATTGAAAAAAAGTTTATGAGTTATAAATGTGGAGGCTGTGAAATGCTAAAATTACCAATTGAACGGGGTTTTACAAATGGCGCTTGTAATAATATTTGTCAATATATGATATGCAATAATTGCAATAGAATTATAAAAGAAATTGATGATATGAATAACAAGGATATTGATATTATAAATAATGAAACTATTGATGATGATTTAGAAATATTTGTATTTATTGAAATGAATAATTTCTTAACTATAGAAGGGTTTGATAATTTATTATATCAGGGCGATGATGAAGGAAACGCTAATGACTTTATTTTTAAGTATTATAGCATGGTAAAAAGATTATACAATATGTCTTTTAGCATTAAACGTTTAAAATATGAAACATTGAATGATAATGACCTTGATTTTTTACATGAGGTTTTAAATGATCGGTATAAAACTCACGAACTTAGATATACAATAACACGTGCAATTGAAATTATGGGAATGTTTAAAAAACAAATAAGAAGTAATATTTATAATGAAACAACGTGTGATAAAATAATAGAAAGAATTAAGAAAGAATGGTGCCCGTAAAAAACGAATGAACATGACCTTGCCCATAATATGTCTACAAAATTTGTGATAAAATTTATTGTAAAATAATTTATCATAATTTTTGGAATAATATTTTTTTGAAAATTTATTTTTTATTTTTTTGTAAAATTTATTTTTTATTTTTTTTTGTAAAAGTTATTTTTTAAAAATTTTGTAAAAGTTATTTTCTAAAAATTTTGTAAAATTTATTTTTTAAAATATGGATGAACTTACTAGGAAATTGCCTGCTTTAAAATGTTGATTTTTGAAAATGTGCTTTTTGAGGTGCTGTTTTAAAATGTTGCTAAAAGTGTAGGGGGGGCTAGGATTTTTTATAGAGAAAAGACGGGCAAGGTCTAGTCTAACTCCCCACCCCCCCCCCATCCCCCCCCCCCCTCCTCCCCCCCCCCCACCCTCCCCCTCCTCCCCCCCCCCCTCCCCCAGTCGTAGTCTTCCGTAGTGTTCCGGCTTCTTCCCGTAGTCTTCTGTAGTCTTCCGGCTTCTTCCAGTAATCTTCCGTAATCTTTCGGCTTCTTCCAGTAGTCTTCCGTAGTCTTCCGGCTTCTTCCCGTAATCTTCCGTAATCTTTCGGCTTCTTCCAGTAGTCTTCCGTAGTCTTCCGGCTTCTTCCCGTAATCTTCCGTAGTCTTCCGTAGTCTTCCGGCTTCTTCCCGTAGTCTTCCGAAATCTTTCAAGCTTCTTCCCGTAAATTTCCGCAATCTTTCGACTTCTTCCCGTAGTCTTCCGTAATCTTCCGGCTTCTTCTCCTAGTCTTCCGATACTGTTTCGGGACCAAACAACGCGCGTGTCCTGGGCTTTCGGGCTTCTTCCCTAGGCTTCGGGTAGTCTTCCCCCACCCCTCCGCCCCCCCCCCTGTGTCTGTCTATGTCTGTCTACGTATCTGCGTCTTTCTTCGTGTCCCCCCCCCCCGCGTGTCTTTGTGTCTGTCTGGCTCTGTCTGCGTCTGCCTTCGTGTCCGCGACTTTGTGTCTGTCTGTGTCTGTCTACATATCGCATGCTTTCTCTCGTCCCGGGCCGAAATTCTAAGGTGTGTGGGGGCGGCGGAACCAGGCCGCAGGCCATTAAATATTGACGTCCAACACCATACACAGTGTATACATACCTGCATCTATGTTTCACCCTTTTAAGAGGGTTATCTTAGGGTTCCCTGTCCTTTTCTGCCTGCAAACGGCTATCTGTTCTGGGGAGAGGGTGTAGACGCCCACCCCTCGAGGCGCCTCAGCGCCACCTTGCCGCTGCCGCCGAAGGCGCGGCAGGTGGCGTGGGACTTGGGGGGCGGAACGCGGCCCCGCGGCATCCAGCGAGCCCCGCAGACCTCGCAGGTGTTGATCCGCGCCTGGGCGGGGTCTGGGGGGTTGGGTCTGGGGGTTGGGGGGCCTGGGACTCTGGTGGTGGGTTTGGGGTCTGGGGGGTCTGGTGTTGTGGGGTTTGGGTTTGGGGGTTTGGGGGTTGGGGGGGTTTGGGGTGGAGGGGCAGGAAACCAAAGGCCACAACCAAGGAAACTTGGCCCACAAGGGTACACAGAGTAAACATGTTGTGCCTCTCAGAATTTTGTCCGCTTGCACAACATATCGCATTTTGTTTGGAGGAGACCCCCGGGAAGGGTTCTTAGAACCTGTTTAGAGGGGTCTGACGAGTCTGATCCAGGGGTTCTTGCAACAGCGGCTGCCGCTGAGGGCCGCTGAAGAAAGGCGAAAGGAGATTCAGACAAGAGTGAAAGGACACCAACCACAAAAAGCATGAGGGGTGTCAGGAACATCTCCGGGGCGCGTAATAACAAACCCGTAAGTAGAAATTGTGTTTTCGTTGGTGCGGTAAAAACAAAAAGCAGCATCTCGGGGTGTCTGATGTTTGGTGTTAATACAACTGAATTGCAATTGATGGTTGTTGAGCATCCAAGCGGTTGCATGGGTTGAGGACCAGCGCAGGCCTGTCTGTGTGCTTGCTTGGGTGCCATGATTGCGTGGGAAACAAGGATTGGGGAGACATCCAACCATATAACACGCTCACATAGGTTGAACATCCACACAGTTTCACCCTGATAGTTCTAGGATAGTTCACCCAGCGTCCATGGACAAACTTGGTATACCCAGAGGAATCCTGCACATATTTTGTTTTGGGGGGGGGGGGCTTACACAAAGACATGTGGAAGTGAACAGGCTGTTCAAAACGAAACCAGTCTTGCAAAAAGGATCTGCGCACTTCCATGTTTGGTTGGTAGGAGTGTACATTGTTCCGAGGAGGTAGGCTAGAAAGGATCGGTGAGTTGCATTAGATTCAATCAAACAACTTCTTGAGAGTTGTCATGCGGGAGATGTAGAAGCCCATGATGAGACAAGCTATTCCCGATTGTTGTGTGGGTGGGGTGGGGAAATAGGGCCGAGACAACACAAAATCCAATGATCATGCTGACAAAACAAACAACAAATGCATATGTGGGTCTGAGGAAATTTCTGCAATCCACCAACCGAAAATAAGGATCCTTAGTGAAGAGAACCTTTGTCATGGGTGACATTGCACCCCCCCCCCCAGTGGCGCTGTCATAATTTGAGCACTTGCAGACAATCATATTGAGATCAACAATGCAACACAAGTTATGATCATAATGGCAGCAATATTATAGACAATGCTCGCAATGATCATATTATTGCATGAGAATATGAGCGCCAAACCACTAATAAAAAATGATAATCATAAAGACTAATGGACGAATGTTAATTATATATCCTCCAGTTTCTCAAAAGGTAAACCGCCTTTTGGTTGGTCGTTGAAGGGAAACCAAGAGGTCGCCATTTTAGGGGACAATTCACGAGGCAAGGCCCCGCGGATGGATTTCCATGGAAGTACGCAGACGTGATCCGATCTGGGTAGAGCTTGTTCTTTTTAGCCTTTTAACCAATGTGATCTGAGACTCCCAAGAGAGCAACCTTCATTGCAATTCGTCGCAAACCTAAACTTTGTGTCGCGGTGTCATGCGCCCATGAAGCCGCGGCCCCCATTCGCAGGAACCGCCTCGCTCGCATTGTCCAATCCGAGTCGCGTAGGCTTCGTCGAAGTCAAAGCCATGCTCCAGCAGCTGCCACCAGCGCGCCTGGAGCTTCACGAGAAATCGCGGCCATGAGGGGAAACTAGGCCCACGGCTTATATTCCACCTTGTGTCAAACAGCTTTTTCTTTGGACTCAAGGGCCTCAAATGGCCTTAGCCTCACCGGATGAGCCGTGGTCCAACGGTGGACCAAATCCTTTTTGCACCAGTTCGCATGGATGACCCCCCAAAGTGGGAGGATTTTGTCCATCCACAGTATGCTTGTATTTGTTCTGCCCAGACCAGATGGTACTTCTCAAGAACCACAGAGACACCAGTGGAATTGAAACAGGATGGTCTTGAACACCTGTGCAGATACAACTGCAACTTCTCTTCACCTTCTGAACTAAGGAACCCCGGGGTAGGCTTCCTTCCGTACCCGATTCTTCATAGTGTTCCCCTTCCAGTTCCTCAAAATGCAAAAAACAACAGGTGCTATTGGCACCTGATTCACCCTCAACAGCAGACGGTGCTCCACTTTTGATACAAGGACTTTCTTCCCAGATTGGCCAATTTGGCCCCTGGAAGGGGACAGCCCCTTCCAAGGCCGAGAACGTCGCCTTTCGGGGGGGGGGCGCTTTCCAAGACAGTAAACCTCCCACCAGCCAACGACTGGTCCCATGTCCAAAGCACCAGGCACTGTCACAAAAACCAGTTGTTGGATGGTGCTAACAGTGCTAGCCCTCGCTTATTTTGCTTCCTCTGAGATGTCACTCCCACAACTCCCAGGATGCCTCCTACACTCCCAGGATGCTTCCCTGGCTAATGACCCTTCTCCCATATCAAAGCCCCGCTCTCGATGGTGCGTTCCCTTGGTTCCCATCCTGAAGATGTGTGCCGGTTGCAAAGTTGTCCTTTTGGGTCACTTATCAGATCCCACAACGAGTGTCCCCCTCCGCTTCTTGGCGTCTGGTTGTTTCAACAGGTTTCAAATGGGCGTTGACCCACTTTGCCTCCTGCGTCTTTCTTGCCTTGCGTCATCTTCCAAAAGGCACACTCAGACTCAAAGACACCAGCCAACTCTTCCAAGTTTCAAAGGAAACCTTCCGGGTCTGCATGTTGTTAGGGCTCGCAAAGGGGCAGGAACAGACATTAGATGCACATTTGATGATCATGTTCCCCTCCATACATTGTTTTCTTCCCAATTCTGGGGTGTGGATCATTCTTGTACATTCAACCCAGTTCAACATGTCAACCAAAAGCCGACGATTGAACCACTCACTTTGAGACAACAAAAAGGATCAACGCCCGTTCTGGTTGGGCCACCAAATACTCCATGCTGTTCGCCGTTCTTGATGGTTTCCGCCCTCCCCGCCTAGCTTTCTTCACATTTAATCCGCCCGTCCTTGCTGTATCTCCAAAACGATATGGAACCGGCTCACAACTGGTTGGAATCCATCCAGAAAGGAGTTTCCAGCTCATAAAAAGGACAAAAAGGGACTTCAAGGCTGCCAACCCCAAGGCTGCCACCCCATTGGAGCCAGAGTCAAGATTCAGATGTTACCAACATGGATTTTAATATTGCGAGTATTGACCCTTACTGGTGTCTACTTGAGGATGTTTGTCCATGAGTAGCTTTGAGGGTATTGCTTTGTTAGAACGTCTCAACAAAAACCGTCCGGAAACCACCCGGTTTGAGGGTTGCCTGAGAAACGAGTTCATCCACACGGTGCCGCTTTTGTACGGCGTATATGCAAAACCTCTTCCAGTTGTTTTAGACGCCGCCTTGAGGACATCGATGCTGGCTTCAAACTGATGCTTCCGAAAATGGGGTCCCCCCGTTCCCCCCCCCCCCCCGCGGCGAGTTTAAAAGGAAGCCTGCAGCCACCGGCAAACCTCGCCAATACCAAGTCCGCAGGCCGGGTTCCTTAGACGCCCCCAACATCACAAAGAAGGTCCTTTCATGTTGAACCCCAAAAGGTGATCTTTGAAACACCCGAAGCGGGCAAACTAGGGCTTCCAGTTGCCACTTGTAGCATTGTAGCAAGTAACAAGGGGACACCATCGTATAAACCCCAAAAGTAGAAGGAAAAACTGGCTACCCACAAAGCAACATCAAAACACTGGGTTCCCTTTGTCGGAATCTCTATGTCTGGAACCCAACTCCGTGAAATCGCTGGCTTCATACCACCCCTGGCTTCTGGCTTCCGCTTCCGCCTGCTGCCACTCGGAGACGCAGCCCAGGTGCACGGGGCTGCGGCAGTCGCAGGGGAGGCACAACTGCCCCGCGTTGCCCGGGGCATCGTCGCGGTCCGCGCACAGGCACAGGCGACAGTCCCCGGACACGTCCATGGCGACAAGCAAACAGGAGATGGAAGGGGTCAAACGAAAGGCAATTGGGAAGGAAGTGGTTGTCATGATTTTTTGCAATGAGCACCAGGTCTAGGTAGAGTTCCGGGAAAAGGGGTATTGTGATACCTGCTCACGAGCTGCATTGCCTGATCTGCTGAAACTGAAGGCAGCAAGAGAGGCAGCTTGCTGATACTTAATCCATGCTATTGGACTCTCGACAGCTTTCGTTTCAATTCGACTACACAGCAAGGCGGAACTGAACAACTTTCAGTTCAGGGCCATGTGATGAAACGTTATCACACAGGTCAATTGCAATAGTGCAATGTTTGCTCTTGCACCATCAGCAACACTTAGGATTGTCGACGGCGCCAACAAAACCATGGATTTACCAGTGGCACTTCCCACCGGGCGACGCATCTGAACAATGGAAGGCAATGAGTTTCAGTGAGGCTCCCAATCTCTAAGGACAAAGGACCCTTGACGCGAACAATCTTTCCAACGCCTTCTCAGAAGCGAGCCCCCTTCCTTTTCCAACGTCTCAAGCCTGTCGCCAGTTGCAACTAGTTGGCCTTTGCGTAACGAGAACTTGCCCAGACTTGGTCCTCAAACCGGGATGTGCCTCGACAAAGCTGTTTTGTGATTATTATTTTTTCTCGCGGTGGGCCCAGCAACTCGACCCCGCGCCCCTCGGTTTTTCCCCGTGTCAGGCGCGGCTCCCTTTACGGCCTTTGCCTGGCGCTGGCGCTGGCTCCGCAATTCGGTGTGGCGCATTTTCTGCGTGGGGGACATTTCTGCGTGGGGAAAACCAAATCCCAAAGGTTGGTCTAAAGATGCCAAAGGCAGAGGAAGCATCGCTTCGGAAGGAACAAAGATGAGATTTGGCAAAAGCATCCCGCAGATGTTGGTGTCCAAAAAGGATCCTACAGGAAGTTGCCTATATGTCCAACTCGAGAACACCGCCAAAATCAAACTCAACTTAGATCTGGCAACAGAAACCAAAAGGTTGCTTTTACAGGAACCACAGAGCAAATCAATCATCATAGGGAACCCTGAAGAAGGCCATAGGCAATAGGCTTCGCTGATCGGAGCCACACTCGAGGGATCCTCTCAAATCTACCAACCTTGGGCCCAGTCTGAATGTCGACGGAACCCTCAACCCCCAACCAAAGAGAGTGCTTGATCTTGGAAGTCCCAAACCAAAATAACAATGAAGGGTGATGGATGCTAAAGAAAAACAGTGCCTGTTCATTCCGAAAGCCTAGCATGCCTACCCATGAAAGCAAGAACCATGACAGCGGTTGATCTTCAAGTGCCCCCAACCCGAAAACGCGGTTCGGGAGCCTTCTGGGGGCCCACTATGTGTGGTAAATCCATATGTTCATGGTCCTAGAATAGGATATGATAAACACCTGTGCAATACTGGTCCACATTCCTAAGGGATTCATGACCAACGGTACCAACCCCAACCAAAAGGATCTTTTAATCATGGCTCACACGCCCACACGCCTCGTCCCTTCTCCTGTTGCGGCGCCTCGCTCGAAGCTCTGGATTTGTCTCAGACCACCCCTGGGCTCTGGGGTGTTTTGGGAATGCTCGTTTACTTTTGGTTTCCCTATACAACCAACCCCAAATGGCTTGATTATCCTGTACAGTAAAGGACCCCACCTAGGGTTGGATTGGGTTGATCCACCTCTGCCCCAAAAGTAAGCAACCTTGTGACCGCATTCGGTTCAAAACGAGGTGACGGCATGCGCTCAAGCCTTGTGACGCGTGATAGAGCGCGAAGCGCATCGCGCCAGATCCGAAGGATCAGCAGGCATTCTTAGAAGCCGGAGATCAGTGATTCGATTCTGCAAATCCTGTAGGAAATACGTAGCCTCAAACCCGGCAGACCGCTAAACACCTGCCACAACTCTAAACGCGCAAGAGGATTAAGTAACCTCTGCAAGAGAAGGAAGTTTGCCTCAGATTTAGATCTCGCCTCAGATATATATCTCGGAGAAATCAAAACAGAGGATCCTGCGATCTTGTTTCTCCTTTCTGCTACAGAAACTCTGCGGGTGATAGATACGGCTCCTTCCATTTGCGCATGCCAGCGAAAAGCAAATCAACGCTGACATTCCTAAGCCAAAGCACAAGCCTGATACACTCCACTGACCCTACTGGACTGGAGTTTCGTTGGAGTCTAGCACCATGGTTTGCCTAAGTCAACTGAACCGGGGCCCAAGCGGAAAGCAACACGAAGCCGAAACGGGCCCCAAAGTGGCTCGAAACCTACGCAAACATGATAAGGGGAACAAAAACTTGAAAAAAAACTCTGAACATGAATCCCGCGACCCAATTAGAATTATCTTGGTTGCGCCGCCTTTCAACTCTCTGCAAAATCATTGCGACCCTCTGGGGCATCTGGCTGGCGGAAGGCCGTCTCGAACTGCGCCTGGCAAAGAGGAAAAAATGATAACTTTGGCTGTCGTTTATCTTGTATTATGGCTTGTTCAATTCGACAAGCTTCTTGTAAGACATCTAAACCTGTATAAATAATGCGAAGCCTACATCAGCATCAATAAGTAAAGTGGAAAATCAAACCTCAACCGGATAATTCGGGCGCCGTGATCTCCATCAAGCTGGACCTACCTGGGAGACCTAAAGGGACTTGACTTTCCCATCTGAAACGCAAACCTGTCAGTTCAGTCCAAAGCGTGAACCGCTAAGGATGGGTTGGTTCCGTGTCTGTACGTTTGGAACCATCCAAAAAGGTGGGCGGCATCCTGCGATGTCGCCCCAACAGTTCACCAATGTCCGAGTTTTTCTAGGTGAGCACCCAGAATGGGTGGTTTTCCTTTATCCCCTTAAGACAAGCCGAAGAACAAGCACACACACACACACACACCGCTGTGTTTATTTCAGCTTCTTTTTTGCACTTCTCATGGAACTCCTCCAACATTGTTCGGAAGCTCTTCTTGGGAGCCTTTGTTGGACCCCATACTAAATGGAATCACCATAAAATGTTGAGTCCTGCAGTATAATCCGAAGGTGAAATCCGCCGACATTGCTCGGCGTGTCGGATACTTACTAGAGGATAGAGGATAACCCCCCCCCTAACCCCCCCCCGCCCGACGTCTATTACGTAGGTTTTTGGGGGGGGGGGGGGTCCCCCACGTACCGCGCGGCAATTTGATGACGTTCCACTAAACGTAGTCTTCGGGGAGCCGGTGTCGCAAAACAGGGGTCCCAGGCTCGATTCCCCCTGCCGGCTTTTTTGCTGGCTTGGGCTTCCTGCATCCTTTTGCCGAAAATCTGGAAAAACTCAATGTTTTTGGACGTCCTCTTTGCGAAAACGCTGGAAAAACCGTGTTTTTTTGCGGGAAATACTGGGGAGCAAAGGGGAAGTGCAAGGATACATACATACATACATACATACATACAGTACATTACATTACATTACATTACATTACATTACATGACATTACATGACATTACATACATACATACATTACATACATACATACATGCATACATACTTACATACATACATACATACATACATACATACATACATACATGCATACATACATACATACATACATACATACATACATACATACATACATACATACATACATACATACATACATACATACATACATACACATACATACATACATACATACATACATACATACATACATACATACATACATACATACATACATACATACATACATACATACATACATACATACATACATTACATATACATACATACATACATACATACATACATACATACATACATACATACATACATACATACATACATACATACATACATACATACATACATACATACATACATACATACATACATACATACATACATACATACATACATACATACATACATACATACATACATACATACATTACATACATACATACACACATACATACATACATTACATACATACACACATACATTACATACATACATACACACATGCATTACATACATGCATACATCACATACATACATACATACATACATTACATACATGCATACCTACATACATACATACATACATACATACATACATACATACATACATACATACATACATACATACATTACATACATACATACATACATACATACATACATACATACATACATACATACATACATACATACATACATACATACATGCATACATACATACATACATACATACATACATACATACATACATACATACATACATACATACATACATACATACATACATACATACATACATACATTACATACATTACATACATACATTACATACATACATACATACATACATACATACATACATACATACATACATACATACATACATACATACATACATACATTACATACATACATACATACATACATACATACATACATACATACATACATACATACATACATACATACATACATACATACATACATACATACATACATTACATACATACATACATACATACATACATACATACATACATACATACATACATACATACATACATACATACATACATACATACATACATACATACATACATACATACATACATACATACATACATACATACATACATACATACATACATACATACATACCATACATACATACATACATACATACATACATACATACATACATACATACATACATTACATACATACATACATACATACATACATACATACATACATACATACATACATACATACATACATACATACATACATACATACATACATACATACATACATACATACATACATACATACATACATACATACATTACATTACATACATACATACATACATACATACATACATACATACATACATACATACATACATACATACATACATACATACATACATACATTACATACATACATACATACATACATACATACATACATACATACATACATACATACATACATACATACATACATACATACATACATACATACATACATACATACATACATACATACATACATACATACATACATACATACATACATACATACATACATACATACATTACATACATACATACATACATACATACATACATACATACATACATACATACATACATACATACATACATACTACATACATACATACTACATACATACATACATACATACATACATACATACATACATACATACATACATACATACATACATACATACATACATACATACATACATACATACATACATACATACATACATACATACATACATACATACATACATACATACATACATACATACATACATACATACATTACATACATACATACATACATACATACATACATACATACATACATACATACATACATTACATATTACATACATACATACATACATACATACATACATACATACATACATACATACATACATACATACATACATACATACATACATACATACATACATACATTACATACATACATACATACATACATACATACATACATACATACATACATACATACATACATACATACATACATACATACATACATACATACATACATACATACATACATACATACATACATACATACATACATACATACATACATTACATACATACATACATACATACATACATACATACATACATACATACATACATACATACATACATACATACATACATACATACATTACATACATTACATATACATACATTACATACATACATACATACATACATACATACATACATACATACATACATACATACATACATACATACATACATACATACATACATACATACATACATACATACATACATACATACATACATACATACATACATACATACATACATACATACATACATACATACATACATACATACATACATACATACATACATACATACATACATACATACATACATACATACATACATACATACATACATTACATTACATTACATTACACATTACATACATTACATACATACATACATACATACATACATACATACATACATACATACATACATACATACATACATACATACATACATACATTACATTACATTACATACATACATTACATTACATTACATTACATTACATTACATTACATTACATTACATTACATTACATTACATACATACATACATACATACATACATACATACATACATACATACATACATACATACATACATACATACATACATACATACATACATACATACATACATACATACATACATACATACATACATACATACATACATACATACATACATACATACATACATACATACATACATACATACATACATATGTACATGCATGCATACATACGAGAGAGGGAGAGTGGGGAGAGAGAGGCTTGGGGGGATGGGGAGGATGGGAGCAGAGGGAGGGAGAGAGGACGACAGAACACACAAGGGAGACAAGGAAGAGAGGAAGAAGGAGAAAAGGGAGAGGACAATGTCGGCGGACTGAGCCGGAGGCTCTAAAGTTGCTGGCCAGACTACTGCCAAAAAAATGCAGATTTTGTGAAATCGCGCCGTCACTTTTCCACGTGATACTCGCTCGCCCGAGCTGAGATTGTTGTCATCTGTCTGGGATGTACCCGAGACTGACAAGTCATTGCCCCTCGGCTAGATGCCAGGTATACGGCTATGGCTTGTTCGGATCCGTGCAAGCTACAGGCTATGGGTATGGCACGCCTGAAACGGGGATGCAGCGTGAAATGGTCACCTTCGAAAGAGAAACGCTGGAAATAAATGTAGTTCGCGCCCTGTACTTGTTGTTCAACAAGAGTGGTATTTAAACCTGTGGGAATCCCAGCACATATCTCACAAGACCTCGTCCACCTCATTCTCTCTGGCCGCCACATCCTCTTCAAAGATCTCCTCCTCCCCCTCGCAAATCTGTGGATGATCTTGCAAAAGCGAACGGGTGTGCCCCAACTCATCAAACTAAACCGCTGTCAGGTCTCCAAGTGCCCCAACATCCCCAACTGACTCTTGGTTTGGGGGAGCCTGACTTGACTCTAACTGTTCTATGCTGCACACATGGTTGATCTTTGGTGCAAGCGATCAGCACCCCTTTCCAACCTTCTCGCCAAACAACTCGCGGTACACCGCCAGCGTGAGCTTGTCCTTTCGCCGGAGAAGAGGCTTCAGGAAATTTGTTTCTTTTTGGTTCCCACTTTGCATAAGGTTTGCGAAAACATGTAAACAAGTAAGCAACAGCACGAGCTACCATGTTCAAACTGGAAAGCAGAGGCTTCCAAACAAGGCGCCTGTATGGGTGAGCATGTCTTGGCCCCTGTTCGGCGAGCTTGTTCGTTGCGTGCTGTAGGGGGCCCAATGCACAAGCAAAGCTCCCTTCTTAAAACGGATCCGGCTCCTACGTCCAACCTTAAAAGCATCGCAGCAAAAAGAAGCGCACTTTGGCAAAGGTTCTTGAAACCACTCTACGAGAAGCCGACCCTGAAAGCTCTTCTCGGATTGCCAAGGCCTTACTGCAAACAAAAGCTCTCCGAAGGAAACTTCCAGCAGCTTGCTTCTGGGAACACAACCCAAAGGAATGCACAATCACCAGTTATTCTATCTTATCTCGGTTTTTTTTGGCTGGGGGGGGGGAGATGAGAGGACTGTTTGAACTACCAAATCCAATAGAAAGACCCATTTAGAGGCAAACAAGCCACAAATCTAAACATGCCGCATCGCCCGTCCTTCTTGGCCATGTTGCAAGCCTCTGCCCGCTCGGTCTCAGGGGTCTCGCTGCAGACAAAGCCTCGTGTGACGCCGGATGGGCGACGTGTATTTAGAGGCCTACATTCATGTTTCTTCTTTCCTGTTCGTCTAGGGAATGGTCACTGGAAACTTAAACTTCAACTGACACCTCTGCTTTAAGCATAAAGTTGGCCCCAACAAAGTCAGAGGGTTTCGTATAGTCCAACTTGTCTCCCCCCCCCCCCCACACCCCCGGAGAAACCGCTGCAAGCCATGTCCAACATGTTGCCATGTCCAGAACTCGATCTTACTCGGTGAGGCGAAGCCTCCCCAAAACCCGGCCCGGCCTTCGCCCTGAAGATCCAGCAGCTTTCGCATCTCGAAGGCCAAGGCTTGCGGGTCCTCGGTGCCACTCCATCCCCGTCGAGTGCCCCATTCGGGGGGAGTTGGCACGAGCTTCCCAATAGGCGGCTGAAATAAAGGCTGAAATAAACTTGCGAAACCCGAATGGGAAATCTGCGACGTCTACTTTCACCCAACTGTACTCAAGGAGTCTTGGACTTGTTTGCTGAGCAAAGAACGAGTGAAAATCAAATTACAAACAGAATTCCTCAGTTGACAAGCAGGAAAGACAAATAACCCAAAACCTGGCAATTTGTTCTAGCCGTTCTTTCGTGGTGACTGGAAGCACAGGGAGATACGTTTTCACTGTGCTACCTGTGGCAAAACGTCAGCAGAGGAAAAAGGTGTTCGGCAACATTGGGGGAGGGGGTGGTGTTTGTATGCCATGCAAAAACACATGGCTCTTAGACTTGGGCGAGGTGACTTGCAATCGGATGCCGCCTTCGGATGACCCAAAAGCTGTTCCTCAATTCCAATACGCACTAAAAGGGTTTGTATCAAAACAGGGATTCGGACCCCGACAAATTGTGGTTCTTCTTTTGATGTTCCTTTGAACCAACCCAACAAAGGGCATCCTCGAAAAAGATGCACGCAAAAGCCCGTTGAGGCTCGGAATCGCTCAAACCATGAGATGGGCAGCCTTTGTTTGGTTGATGTTGTCACCTAGAAACAAGGAACTCCGTCCCAAACCACAAGGAGAGTTGCCATTTGGGGGGGGTCCTTTGATGCGAACCCACGTGGAAGGTCAGCTCAGAGCCTCCCTCCCTCCCTCCCTCCCTCCCTCCCTCCCTCCCTCCCTCCCTCCCTCCCTCCCCCTGCGGATTCGGCACGCTAAGCCCCGAGGCCAGTGAAGCTCGGATGAACTGCTCATGGGACTCCTTGGGCAAATGTAAGCGTGGGAACCCTTTTGGGGTCAAGCTTGGCACACCTCCAACAGAACCCTGACACCTTGGGGGGCCAACCGCAGCATTTTTCAATAAGCCCGTGTTCCCTTTGAACATCTCCCCCACCCGACGGAAACTCAAGCACCATGGCCCTAAACGGTGATGTGTCATAGTCAAAGCGCGCAGGACGTGGGCATAGATCGTTCACTAGGAATCCTCCATGGTTGACTAGATCAGTTCATCCCTAGTTACCTCATTTAAGCATTGCCCTTTGACTATGCCACATAATACAAGGAGCCCTTTGTTGGGAACGCATGCTTCTTGAGTGTATCAAGGTTCCCTCTTCCGAAAGTGTTGGTTGTTGGGGAACCACCTGAACTTATGCAAGTGTCAGTTTCAATGGGAGCCTTCTTTGGGGTGTCTTTAACGGGAAGCCAAAGGAAAACCACCTATTCACTTCAGACCACCCGACCTAGAATAGACCTCAGTTGTTTGTTTCTCAAGCCAAAACAAGCATGAAAAGGTTAGCATTGTGGCAAGAACGGCTATTCCTGATATGAGGGTACCCTCTTTGGTTGTAAAAGGGGCCCCATTTTGTGATTTCCATACTTGTTCAACAAAACGTACGGAGTTGTGGCGCAAGCTCAAATCCTCTCAGCTCTGTTCTGAGTTGTGCAGCCTTGTCCACAAAGGAACCGGGCAGAGTCCTACGTTTGGAACGATTTCAATCTCTAAGATGTTGCCAGTTGCAGTGACTAAGAGGCATTGGGCCGCCAAAACCAGGGTGCAGAGTTCATAGCAGGCACCCCTACATAGGTGTATCATTGCGTTAACAACTCTATCTCCAAATTCAAAGGTCTTTTCTTCGGGGGACCACCCCAACATGGCTTCCTTCTTCGTGTTGGTTCACCTGAAAACCTTAGGTCGGCGAAGCACCCCACCCCAGCCACACCCCAGCCCAGCCCAGCCCAGCCCAGCCGAGCGCGACACCTCACCGAGGCACCGCCTCGCTGGCCGAAAGCTCTGGGCAGCTCTCGTTGCCCAAGCCGTGGGCCTTCCTCTGCTGCAGCTCCTAGCGTGGAGCTGTCGCTGGGCTGGGGAGGCGATTCAAGGGGAGCAGCCAGCCGAAATGCCCAGATTTGTACATACAGCAAGCTGAAATTCCAAGATAAATATGTATATATATATATATATACACATTTTTGGTCGGGAAAAGTCGCCTTTTGGTGGCACAAAGTCTCAATACAAATGCAAAAAGTGCTCCAGGGCACAAACAGGTGCCGCTTGCCCCAAAAAGCACGTTTCGTCAAAAAGCCACAAAAGGGAACACCTTGGACGGTCTAGGTATGATGCAAATGATGTGTGGGCTTAAATGGCCATATTCATCTTGAAAATACCTCTCGATTCTATTTACCTATATTCAGCTTCCTTCTTCATTTGGAGTGCTCTTGTTGGAGGTCAGGGGGGGCTCCATTTACCCTCAACCAGATCCAGGGTTTCAAATACCCACCAATCCAAACCAATTGGGTTAAAAGTAGAGAGCGTCCCCTCATGGGGGGTGGGTTTTTGAAACCCATAAGATTCACAGATTTCAACCCCACGGGCAATGCACTTTTAGTGCTGTGGACCTTGGATGTTGTGCCCAAATTGCTTGTCTGTTTCAACAGGCTTCATCAAACAATTGGACCTTGAACATTGGCCCATAATTGCTTGTCAATTGCACTATCAGACAGTGTTGAAGGAAAGGCCAGTCGCCAAAAGTGTCTTGTCTATTACCAGCGTAGCTGCAATTCTCTTAGCATCTTTCTTGTCATTCCTGTTGCAGTGTGTAGCATTAGAACTGAAATAGAATTCAAATAGAACCCTATATGATTATGGAAAGACAAGTTGGTCGTTTATTCTGAATTGCCTGCCCCATAAAAGGAGAGACCAACCAATAGAAACTCAAAGGAAATGCAACGTCAGATTTTTTGGTTTACAAGTTTTAGATCGCACCGCTTTAGGTTGAATCAAATCTTGATTAGCCTTCAAGTTAACACAGTATGTTGAATTAGAATTTAAATAGATGTCCCTTCCCAAGTAGGATTTTAATCGGGAATCTGCTGAAGAAAGAGAAGCTTGTTGTTTCTTCTAATTTGCAATGCAAGCCTCTGAAAAGAACTGGAAAAAACATGGCAAAAAGCTGATTGCGTTGCAATTTGTTTGCAAGGTTTACATTGCGAGGAATTACTTACATTCAAATTGGATTTCGATCAGACTTCACTTCATGCTCTCGAATTAGATATTAGTCAGCACTTCCCTTCCAAGCAATGGTTCCGATTAGAAGGGTAACTGTTAGTTTTAGATGTGTGTCATGGGGTCTTATCCAAATAATATTTATTTGCTTTATTATTTTTAATTGAGTACATTGTAAACAGGAATTTCATCCAAATCTAAATGGGAATTTCTCTCCAAATATGATCTTTATTTGACATGTTTATTGCTAGAATTTAGTAAGGAAAGACAAGCTGGTAGATTCTTCTAACTGATTCAATTTGTGTTACTGTTTTGTACCAGAATAAAGATGGATTTCCTTTCCAAGTATCTAAGACTGTAATTGGATTTTAGCTGTAATCTGGATAATATGGCAAGGAAAGACAAGCTGGCTACTTCTTTCAATTCATATGAATAGAATTCGGTTGCACTTAGCAAGTGAAATGCCCAGGCCGCGATGGCAAATGTTTCCTTCTTGCGGATGTTTGTTTCTTCTTGCTGACCCCAACCTCAAAACCAAGCAAACCTCGAGAAACCCCAAAAAAACAAAAACACCATTTCAGACCTTATGTATCCTTGCTGGCTGAGGTAGGGTCTGACAGTTCGGTTTTGTTTGCTCGAGGCCATTTCTTTTTAACAACAGACCCTAACTCAGCCAGCATGGATACATAGGGTCTGAACTTTTGTTTTTTTGGTTTTTGTTGGAAAACTCGGGGTTTTTTTGGATTTTCTGGAAAAGTGTAAAAAACCTCGAGTTTTCCAAAAAACAAAAAAACCCAAAATTTCAGACCCTATGTATCCATACTGGCTGAGTTAGAGTCTGATTTTTTTTGTTTTTTTTGGAAAACTCGAGGTTTTTTTGGATTTTCTGGAAAAGTGTAAAAAACCTCGAGTTTTCCAAAAAAAACAAAAAAAACAAAATTTCAGACCCTATGTATCCATACTGGCTGAGTTAGGGTCTGAAATTTTGGTTTTTTGGTCTTTTTGGAAAACTCGAGGTTTTTTTTGATTTTCTGGAAAAGTGTAAAAAACCTCGAGTTTTCCAAAAAAACAAAAAAAACAAAATTTCAGACCCTATGTATCCATACTGGGTGAGTTAGGGTCTGATTTTTTTTGTTTTTTTTGGAAAACTCGAGGTTTTTTTGATTTTCTTGACGCATCAAAGAAACATACCGCCAAAACTGCTAAATTTCATGCTTTAAAAAACCCACCCCCCATGAGGGGCCCTTCTGTAAAAGTAACACCCTGCCCCGCCTTTAGATTTTAGATGGGGGCTATGGAGGCTGCCTGGTTTCATCAAATTCGGGCTGACAGCCGGGATAGCGAGCTGACCCTTGGGAATGGTTCGGTTGGTTGAATAAGGCAAAAAGACTGGTACCCATCCATGCATGTTGGGGAATCCTGCACACACACCCTCCCACTAAACATGGAAGTGCACAAGTGCACGGGGCTGGGCTCTTTGGGGGGTAGTGTTTGGCTTCGCGCGGGGTTTTGAGCTGTCTGCTCCTGAAATGTGATGGATTAAATTCTGGTGGCTGCGAATTGACCTGAAACCCAGACAAGGAGACTCTTTCGGATCTCATGTTCCTCGGGACAGGTGAAGGGCGAATGGTTGCAACCTCCGCTTTGACTGGAGATTTGCTATGGAACCTAACTGCCAACCGGTAGCTGGGTCTGTCTCAAATTGGATATGGACCCAGAGTTCTCTTTCTGGTTTCTCCTTGAAGATTCTCAGAAGGGTTCTGAGCCTGAAAAGGAGCCACAAATTGATACACCCAACGGCAGAAGCCAGACGCAAAAAAAACATGCGTTGGGAGCAAAAGGTGAAGCGACTCTTTTTGTCCAAAGACGGAGGGTGAAACACGAGGATTATGGCAACCAACCCTAAATCCCAAAGCCTTAAACCCCTAACGCGAAAATTCCCCAAACCCGCGACCTGAAAACACGCTCTAACGCCCGCCCTTTCTTTGGGACCTCAACTTGAGAGGACGGATCCAACGATACAACCGTGAGCTGTTGGTTGAAATGGAACATGATGGAAAGCCAAGAACATGCACAAACAGCTGGAAGGTAAGCAGAAACTGCAGTTTTCCATTTTGGCTTGTAGTAAATCCTGGGGCTTGGAGCAACTTCTTGGAAGAGAACCCTCGACCAAACCATAAAGGCGAAACCATCAAGGCGAGTCCTCCATTTCCGCTAGGCTGAAGAATTTGGACATCGGGACTGGGCGCGCAGGCGGGTCAAATGGGGCGGTGAAAATCGGCGGAGCCCGGCCTTTTCAAACCACACACAAACACAATTTGGCGTGAAAGTCCTTTGGTTGGAGGCTCCCCTTGGGAGTGATTCCAAAGGGAACTTCGAAGGCACCTGAAGCCCCGGACCTGATTTCAAGACACCAACTTACGTGGACTGGGTTTCCCGCCGCCCGTTGGCAACCAGTAAGCATGTTTTTGGGATCCGGAACTCCCCAAACAAACAGCGAGTGATAAGGGGGCCTTGGGGTTCAATTCAACCAGTCCCCGCCCCAAGCGGATCTGGCAGAGGAACCAATGCCAAACTGGAAGCCCCGAAATTTGCCCCAAAATCCACGGGTGCCCAAGGGGACCCAAAGACAAACGCCACCTTCACCTGAAAGCCACGTGTGGGTGGACACCCCCCCTCCCGGCACGTGCTGTTTTGGATTTCTCTGCACCATTGCAAAGGACCGGTTGTGTGGAATGAATGGGTGGAGAAAGCTGTCTTTGATCCAGTCAATCACTCTAGCACCACTTCCGTTCTTACTGACGCCTTGTTGCAACATGCGCGTTTTGCTGGTCCCACTCAAAGCAAAGACTCTATTTGTCTCCCGGCTCACTGGTTGCAAGTAGGACTTCCCTTCGTTTCAGCTGCCACCAGACCTAAAAAAGAACTCCTTCCATGTTCCTGGGTGGGAGGGCAGCTGGATACCAAAATCCCGTCCCTGACCCATGGACTTCCGTGTGTCCCAAACCAGGGTAAACTTGAGTCATGGCACCCTAAATCCTAAGCCCTAAACCCTGAATATAGACCTGAAACCTCGAGCTTCACCATCCCTCCAGGGGTGTTTTGACCATGTCTCTGCAGAGGATGTTCAGCCCCCGTCGGCCGGCATCTTCTGGAGCCGGGACTACGAAGTGAGAAAAGGTCAAAGTGGAATCCACTGAAAAATGTCCCACCAATTTTACTGGCGTGCGTGCGTGTGTGTGTGTGTTCGTTGTGCTAAGAATGAGCTCACTCGACGTATCGCCTTGCCCAAGATAGCTCACCAAGTGAAGGCTGAGTGAGAAGACCTTTTCTGGGATGAGTGGACGGCTTGAAGCCACAGGCGACATCAAACCTATGCAAGCAGCAAGGGAGATATCGCCCACTACATTTGGGTGTGGCTCAAAATTAAACAGGAGGGGTTACGCAGGTTTTGGTCCATGTTTCCACTTACCAGGGTTCCATTTTGGTACCGGTTTTTTGAGCCACAGCCATTTGGGATGACAGGCATCCCCGCATCCGAGGTCCCCGGCGCTTTGCCTCTGTTTCTGTGTCCGCGGTGACCGGCGTCCTGGCCCACAGCAGCCGTGAAACCGGGGTTTTCTTTGTGGGTCCCATACCAATCCCAAACACAAAGGAATGCAAGGGGCCTATCCACCGAATAACCGGGTAGCTTTCAGAGCTTGACATGTGTAAACAGCTTCGGCCAGTCCCTCGCTTCAGCATGGTTTAACAACTCCTGTTGGTTTGCCGTTGGGAGACATGCCCCCTATCACTCCGCAGGTTGTGTATTTCGGGATCAACATGGCTGAATTCCACAGTTAATTCCAGACTTGCTAATTAGGCTAACCACTACTGGGGAGAACAACTATCATAAAGAGTCCATGAGGGAGTGGGGAGTGAGGACACAAATTCTGCCCGGTCCTGGTCCCGGCCACCGGATGCGAGGAAGGGGCGCTGGTTTGCTCCAGATACGAGCGACGTGAGCGCGCGTAGGATCCTCCTTGGGAGTGGGAGACCCAACAAAAAGGGAGAACAACAAGGCGGAATCCATTGAACAGGGGTTTGCCTTCTCGAGGTTTCACTTTTTGCTGGTCGAACCATTGTTGGACTCGTCAAACCCAGAGGCGGAGGGCTGACTAGAAAAACACAGATAGAACTTGACAAGCCTTAGTTGCAACTTGCTTCGTGATTCACCCTCTTGTTTCTGCTCTAGGTTTGAGGTGTCACCCTACTGTTGAAAAGGGTTTTAAGAGCGCACCATCGAAGGAGAGGGATAGAGAGACAGAGAGAAAAAAAAAGAAAAGATACATAGCAACAGAGGATGAAGAAATACAGAGAACATGAGAGAGACAACAAAAGAGAAATGAGCAGACGACAAAATGAGAGATTGCAAGGCAAGGAGAAGGACACTCAACACGTGAATACAAAAACAATGCTAAAGAGAAAAAACCTTAATAGACATAGATACATTTAGCCCGCAACAACATGAATAACTAAAAGAAAAGGAAAGGAAAGGGACAGGCTTCAGCATCGAGCAGGACACTGACCGATTCGGCCGAATCGAATCTGACTCAAGCCATGGTTCCGCAGTGGGAGTGAGTCAAGTCCGCGGCCAGTTGTCGAGATTGCGCCCCGCTGAGCGTCTGTGTTGCAAAGTTCAAGTCTATCCCGTCGTGGTCGCCGAACCTCAACCAGCTGCAGAAACTGGGGCTAGGCACCCTTTGGTTTTGGGGCTGGAAGTCACGATTCCGGGTCCCGAATCCGAAAGGCTCGGAACCAGCTCTTTTGGGTTGACAATCCATCTGAAGCGAGCCCCGAGCTTTACAAGCAAGATATCAAACGCGATGAACTGCTGATGGGTAACCCAATCCGGGTATGGCGCAAAATTAAAGAGCTGGGGTTACGCGGGTTTTAGTCTTTGGTTCCATTTACCAAGGTGCCATTTTGGTACCACTTTTTTGAGCCGCAGCCATCACACCCCTGAGAGTTACCAAGCACCACCGCCTTCCAGGTGAGAGTGTGGCCCTTATGTTTTTCTTTTTGTGAAGGTTGGGTTGGCCGGGACCCACAACCCTCATCGATTGAAAATTGGACAACCCGGGACATCTACAGGGTCGCTTCCATCGCCCGAAAGCTTTCCGAATGTCTGCAGAAATTTAATGTTCTTGATTTGGTTCTTAGGCTCCATGGATGTGCGCCTTCTTTTCAGCCAGGGTTGTCCTGATTGAATCTTTACCCTTTGCTTCTCATTCAAGTCTTAAGAGGATTGGCTCAGCCGCGCGGGGAACAAGCACATGGACATGGACTTGCGAAGGACCGACCCCCGTTCTCAAGAACGCTTGCGGAGAGATCTCCGGGCCAAACGGCCTCTCCGTTTTTGGACGTGAACTCATGGTTCGGATCACAGGGCTCTTGCCGGGAGCCACGAAGAGCACCCTTGTTGGTGCTGGCAGATTCAATTATAATTGCACAAGCAGAGACCCCAAACAGTTGAGGACTGACGGGCAAGCACAAACATGCCAACAGCTTGTGGCTTTCTGCGCTTCAACACGGGTGAATCAAAATGATGCAGTCATGAACCCGGCACGCGTTGCGTTGCTGCACGTGTGTTGCTGGCGTGCTTCGCGCTTCAGCACCGCGCAGGAACTGAGGTTGGGCAAGCGCGTGTGATAGCGGGCGAGCGCGCGCGCGCATGAACGCAAGTGTGGCTGTGCAAGCGCGCGGTCACATGGCGCAGTTCAGACACACATGTCCAATTCAGACACACATGTGTTTTTACACGTGGAACACGCATATGTAGACGACTGAAGCAGTACACGCGGCACGCGCAGATGTGCACCCGTGCACACACATATACATTCACCTGCGGCACACGCATACATGTGTTGAGCCGGAGAACCAACGTGCGCTTCTTGTAATGCACACACACACATGTGTACACCTGAAACACACATATGTGCTCACCTACGACACGCTAATGTGTTCACGTGGAACACACATGTGTTCACTTGGAACACAATGAAAGGCGTGTTTGATTCAGACACACATGTGTGTACACGTGGAACACACGGGTGTTCACCTGGAACACAAACACGTGCAATTAAAGCACACATGTGTGTATATGTGGGACACACACATCTGTACACCACTGGAACACAAATAGATATGTGTCCAGGAACACCGCGTGTGCGATTAAAGCACACATGTGTGTACACGTGGAACACACACACATATGTGCACGCGTGAGCAAACATAAATGCTTACCTGAAGCGCACACACACACACACATGTGCGCACCTCGAAAACAAACATGCGCTTTCTGGAGCACATACATGTGTACACCTGGAGAGCAAATGTGTCGTCAGGTGCAAAAAATGTTCACCTAGCACATAGGGCACATAGTAATGTGTTCACGTGGAACACACATCTGTCCACCTGGAACACAAGCACATGTCCAATTGGAACACACACGCGTGCACACGTGAACACACATATGTGTACACGTGGAACACACATTTGCGTACACGTGAAAACACACACATATATGTGCACCCGGAACACACACACGAGTGTTCATCTGAAAACAACATGTGTTCACCTGGAACACATACACGTGTCTGATAAGAACACACATGTGTGTACACGTGAACACACGTGCGTGTACACGTGGGAGACACACATGTGCACACGTGAACACACACATGTGCACAAGGGAACACGCACATGTGTACTGCACACGTGAACAGACACATTTATGCGCACGCAGAAAACACAGACACACACGAGTATTCATCTGATCACAAACACATGTTCTCCCGGAACACAAACACGTGTCTCGTTGGAACACAGAAGTGTGTACACGTGAACACATGTTTGCGTACATGTGGGACACACATATGTGTACACGTGAACACACCTACCTGTGCATGCGGTGCAGACACGTGTTCACCTGATTACAAACATGTGTTCTCCTGGAACACATACACGTGTCTGATAAGAACACACACTTGCGTACACGTGAACACACATGTGTGTACACGTGCAACAAGCATATGTGTACACGTGAACACACATATGTGTACACGCAAACACACACCTATATGCACACCCGGAACACGCACACACACACACACACACACACGCGTGTTCGTCTGATAACAATCATGTGTTCCTGGAACACACACATGCGTACACCTGGAACACATATGTGTGTATATCTGGAAAGCACATTTCTGTATACCTGCAGCACACATTTGTGTTCACCTGGAACCCACACATGCGCTCGCTTGGAACAGGCATTTGTGTTCTCGCGCAACACTGGCGCAGACCTGGGTTTTATAGAAACATGTTTAACATAAATCAAGTTCCCGAAGCCGGCTGTGAGGCGCTATTCCATGGGGCTCTGCCTTGAACAACGCCTGTGTTTTATCTGCATGTTCCAAGTAGGAAAATAGTGCTCGTGTGCGATCAATCTGGCAATTTTGCAACACGTTCCTAGCGCGCGAGCCTACTGCTACTACTACTACTACTACTACGCGAGCCTCCTGCGTCTCCAGCATTTACAGGCTTCATCTTAGCAATAAAAGCTTTCCGGCGCACTGCGCTTTCTCGCTTAGCTGCGCAGTGTCTTTCGTATCGAGCAACCTGTTGCTCGATAGAACGCTCTAAAGTGCCTTTATCGTATTGTGGCAGCTCTTCGTATCGATTCAATAAAGCATCTGCTTTCGCAGGGAAATACACAACCCAATTCTTCCGTGTGCTCGGTACAAGGCATCCCTGCCTTCTTGCCTCAGCCGCTTTTTCTTCCCGTTTGTCCAGCAAATCGCATTCCATGGTAGTTGCGTACGAGGAGAGCGGAAGCAAATTTGCATTGAGGTGTAACTGGGAACCGGTCCACTGTGCTAGCGCCTGGCTAGCGCGGGTTCGCCGTATTTTGTGGAGTCACGGCGACCACCTGTGTGGATTCGACAAATTAAGGCCACGTAAGATGAAGGTAAACGTGCGGGCTGGCTTCAAGTACTAAGAAAGAACTGCAACATTACACCCGTGAAAGCCACACAAAGCCCATCGCAGCAATCCGCGCGCCAACTCTTGGAAACCCAGATCACCGAAGACCCTAGCGCAAATCAAGCGCCATCCTAGCGCCTCCAGTGGGGAGCGGGCAATCCATTCCTGTTTGCAGGACTCCGCTTTGTATGAATGAGAGGCTGCGCAAAGTGACTGCGGCGGTGGCCTCTGTAGACTAAGCTCCCTTACTCCCTGGCACAATCGCCTGCTTTCACCTGGAACACAAACATGTGCTCACGTGGAACACACTCATGTGGTCACATGACAAAAAACGTGTTCACTTGGAACGCGCCGATGTGGTCAGCTGGAACACACCAAGAACACACAATCATTCACTTGAAGCACTCGTGCGTGCGTCCGCAGCATGCTACCTGTGGCTTGATCAAGCGCACGCGCACGCTCAAACACGCGTTTCTGAGCCTCAAACACACATGCCTGCCCGCGGAACACACCGCACATGAATCCGTGACAACCGGGAACAAATAAAGGGAGACAAAGAGAGACAAATGAATCCGTCCACCCACAGAGCCGTGCCATTCATCCAGGCTGGGAGACAACTAGAAGGAGACAAAGGGAGACAATTGACCCCGTCCAAGAACAAATGAATCCGTCCATTCAGAGAGCCGTGCCAGGCATCCAGGCTGGGAGCCAACCAAGGCCAAATAAATGGAGACAGAGGGAGACAACCACTCACAGAGCCGTGCCAGGCATCCAAGGCTTGGAGACAACAAGATAACAAGGGAAGCGAGACAAAGGCAGACACATGAACCTGTCCGTCCGGAGCATTCAGAAACAAATGGAGGGAGACAAAGGAGCCACATGAACCCGTCCACCCAGAGAGCCGTGCCAGGCATCCCTAAACCCTAAACCTTAAACTAGGGGGTCCGCCGCACAGCGAGCATATGCCAGAGCTGCTCGCGAGGTTGAACCTTGGGTCAGTCCATTGGTCGAATTTGGGACCGATTTCTTTCGAAACAGGCTGGGCGCTCTGGGCGAAACCCTCCCATCAATCCTCAGATCCAGCCCCTTCCCCAAAACCTTCGATGAGGGCCGGTCCGGAGCACGGTCATTCCAGTCACTTAACAACCCAACCTGGTTGATCCTGCCAGTAGTCATATGCTTGTCTCACGGATTGGGCTCAAGATTGTGTATGTGCTGCTTGCAGTTTGACCGCGCTGGCCTTCTCCTGGGCAAACCCTCCGATCAGTCCTCGCGAGGGTTCAATCCTCGCGGAACGAAAATCCATTGTTTTGGGGAAAAGCAGAGCCAGTCCTTTCACTTGTCTCACGGATTAGGTCAAGGCCCCCCTTGGAGACGCGACGAACGGCCTTTAGTTGGAAACTCCGGATCACGGTCATTCGGGTCACTTGACAACCCAACCTGTTTCATCCTGCCAGCGCTTGTCTCACGGGTTGGGCTGCAAAGCTCCGCGCGCCGGACGCTTCAAAGAAGATCGTGCATCTGCTGCTTGCTGGCTGACCGCAGCCCGTTTCTGCTCTGCAAATCCCCCGCGGAAGGCTTTTTCCCTGGGCGCGTCCTCGCGAGGGTTCAATCCTCGCGGAAGCAAAATCCATTGTTTTGAGGAAAAGCAGAGCCGATGAGGGCTGGGGGCACGGTGTTCGGGTCACTTGGCAGCCTAACCTGGTTGATCCTGCTTGTCTCACGGATTGGGCTGCGCCTGCTTGTTTCGCGGACTCCTTCAAGGCCCGCCCCTTGGAGACGCAGCGACGAACGGCCCTTAGTTGGAAGGGCTTCCCCCCACGCAAAAGCTCGACACAGAGCAAAGAGCTGCTGATTGAAAGGGCAGCTGCAAAATAGTTTAAGAAGCCTAAACCCTAAAAGGCGGAGCGTGGAAAGGGTGGGAGCCGCTCAAACGGCGCGGGTGGGAAAAACAGCGGGGCTTCAGGCCCCCGCTCTCGTAGGCGCTCTAGCACGAAGTCCGAACGGCCAGACAATTTCTACAATGACACGTCATGGCTGCTTAACAATCAAGTCCAAGTATTTTTCTACGCGCCGAATGAAGGAGACAAAGGAGACACATGAACCTGTCCACCCAGAGAGCCGTGCCAGGCATCCAGGCTGGGAGACAACGCGAGACAAATAAAGGGAGACAAAGCGAGACAAAGGGAGACCGTAGAGCGCAGGCATCCAGGCTGAGAGACAACGGGAGACAAAAGAAGGGACAAAGGCATCCAGGCTGGGAGACAACGGGAGACAAATGAGGGAGACAAAGGGAGACAAATGAACCCATCCACCCAGAGAGCCGTGCCAGGCATCCAGGCTATGGCTTGGCAATAGGCGAGTCACTTTAAATGAATTTAGAACCCCTCACAGTAAACTGTTTGGGGAAAAAACACACCTTCCACCGAAAGCAAAACCGGCACCAAAGAACAACTGATCGCTTAGTACAAGACATGCAATGCCAACCCTCTCCATCACCCTTCCGTTTCGTCTCATAGCACCCAGACTGCTTTGGTGTTCCTCCCGTGCTACGCACTCCCAAGTTGGACCGCTCGCCCATGACTCCTGTGGACACCAGCCCTTGAGCCCTCGAAACTGAACCCCAAGCAGGCAGGGGTTGGGCCCCGTAAAACGGACTTCTCAAGCACCCCAGAAACCCCCCTTCTTCCCTTCTTCCCCCCGCAATGAATTTTTCCGGGCTGCAGAATGGCTCCCCGGTTGTGCTGCCCGGGGCTGGTGAACATGTTGACCTGAGGCCAGGGCCCAAGGCCAGGGCCCAACAGCTTCCACCGAAAAAGAGGAGGCTCGGGTGGTAACCACAAGGAAACATGTTTGCCAACAAGAAAATGGGTATGCCAACCAGGGTCAACAAGAAAATGTTAAACTGGTTTCAACATAGGTTTCAACATAAGCTTCCAACAAGAAAATGGGTATGGGTCAAAATTAAACCACCGGGAATTGGACCACGGGTTTTAGTCATTGATTCCATTTACCATGCCATTTTGGGGATACCCTATTTTTGACCCACGGCCAAATAACCGACCACGACAAGAAACACAACGACGCGGCTGAAAACGAACAATCGCGACAAGCAAATGGAGGAACATGGAGGAGGATGGAGGAGAAATGGAGGAAGAGGAGAAATGGAGCAGAGAAATGGAGGAGGAGGATAGAGGAGAAATGGAGCAGAGAAATGGAGGAGGAGGATAGAGGAGAAATGGAGGAGGATGGATGGAGAAGGATGGAGGAAGATGGAGAAGCAGAGGATGGAGGAGGAGAAATGGAGATGGAGGAGATATGGAGGAGAAATGGAGGAGGAGAATAGGATGATGAAGGAGAAATGGAGGAGAAATGGAGGAGAAATGGAGGAGAAATGGAGGATAAATGGAGGATAAATGGAGGAGACGAGGATTGAGAAAGAAATGGAGGAGAGGAGGATCGAGGAGAAATGGAGGAGGATGGAGGAGGAATGGAGGATGGAGGAGAAATGGAGGAGGATGGAGCAGATGTGGAGGAGGATGGAGGAGAAATGGAGGATGGAGCAAATATGGAGGAGGATGGAGGAGAAATGGAGGAAGATGATCCTCCTCCGTTTCTCCTTCATTTGTTTCCTCAATCCACTCCATCCTCCTGCATGTGTCTTCCATGTTTTCTTCCTCCTCCTCCTCCATTTTTCCTTCATCCTCCTCCATTTTTCCTGCATCCTCCTCCATTTTCCCTCCATCCTCTTCCATTTTTCCTCAATCCTCCTCCATTTTTCCTTCATCGTCCTCCATTTTTGCTCCATCCTCCTCCATTTTCCCTCCATCCTCTTCCATTTTTCCTCAATCCTCCTCCATTGTCCCTCCATCCTTCTTCATTGTCCCTCCATCCTCTCCTCCATTGTTCCTCCAACCTCCTCCATTTTCCCTCCATCCTCTTCCATTTGTCCTCAATCCTCCTCCATTTTCCCTCCATCCTCCTTCATTGTCCCTCCATCCTCTCCTCCATTGTTCCTCCATCCTCCTCCATGTTCCTCCATTTGCTTGTCGTGATTGTTCGTTGTCAATCGCTGTTCTAATTTCCTGGTTGTTGTTTTTGTTTTTTGCCGATGTTTGAACCCTCCCTTCACCGAAAAACGCGCGCGGGGATGCACTTTTTCCGAATGGCAAAGGATTGTGCAGTAAAGCACCGAGATTGCGCAGAGAGGATGCCTCTGTAGCACCAGGGAGATTGCGCAGGCAAACATCATGAAGAGATTGCACGGAGAAATCTCACAATGATACAGGACAGAGATTGCACAGAGGGATTGCACAACGCAATGTTAGAGAGCTTGCGTCAAACAAAGCACAGAGAGAGGCAGACTTTGGGCCACGGAACGTAAAAGACGCATTGCGCAGAGGCGTTCCTCAACAAAATTGCCAGAACGATGTGTTCAGATGTGCGAGAGATCACTCAGGGATGTCGTGGAGAGATTCCTCAGAGAGATTGCGTAGAGAGATGTCACAAAGAAATTGAAAAGAGAGATGTCATGGAGAAATTGTAAAGATGTCCTGGAGAGATGGCTCAAACACATGACAACTTTACAAGGAAGCGGCTCTACAGGCCCAACCACGGTCTGCAAAAATGCGACGATCTCGCAGATTCAGCATGTCGAGGTGTAAACAGAAACAGCTTGCGCAGGGCCACACGTGGATCCTGCGGGTTGGCGTACGAAAACCAAATAGTGCAAATCCAACTTTGTCAGGGCACACCACGCGTTTCGTGGCTTTGGCCGATATGCAAAACGCCAGGACGTGTGGGTCGATGCCGGACCCCCCTCTACCTGTCCGCCAGGCGGCATAATCCCAGGGCGGGCGTTTCTGCGGCAAGCCGTCACTTCTGGTGCAGAAAAGCCCAGTGTAGTCTGCGGCGGAGAAGACCGTGATGACACCGTACTCGCCTGCGATAAATGGTTCCATTCCGATGACAAGAGAGAGAGAGAGAGAGAGAGAGAGGTCTACCCTTTCTGGGGTGCCATACATGTTCCAAGAAGGTAGTCTATGGCCCCTTTTGGATAACTTCACAGGGAAACCATCAGGAAGCCCCCAACATGACCCACAGTCTGAATATGCCAAGTCTCCCCGTGGAAAAAGAGGAAAGTTCATTATCCTCCGGGTCTTGCGGCTGTTTTTGAGAGTCCCTCACGTTCTTGCCAAATTCACCATATGGACCCTCAATTTTGAACAAACCTCACATGGGTCGGCGGTCCTATGGTGAAGGCCAAGGATCCCAATTGAAAGCAGGCCCTTGGATATGTGTCAACGAGTTCCAGTGTGCAAGTTGGTTGGTTTGCCATGAAACATGTCAACAGACCCTGTCCAGGGTTTTCTGTTCTTACTCTTCCGATTCACATGGAATATCATGAGTTCCTCAGAATGGTATGGAGGGACAGGATGAGTTTTGGCCAATACTTCTTCAATACGGTGCAACACTACTTTCGAATTGGCAGAGACTGGATGAGTTTTGGGCAACACTGCTTCTAAGCAGAGCTAAACTACGTTTGATTGGTTTGAGATGTCATGTGATTCAGGACATCTTAGCTGATGCAAACCAACCAGGCTTAGCATGAATGGGCAAAGCTGCATTTGTGGATTGATGCAGTTGTTCAACAGGGTACGTGCTTGGCTTTCTCCGCTGGGCAACTTTGGGTCTGGCAGGGTGCCCGGACAAAGCTTGATCGCTTTGCTTTCAGGGGTAAGATGGAAGGTTGGTGTGGCCACAAAACCGCCCACTCCCAGAACAGGAGAAGCTGAGGCGACTTTGTCACTGCAAAGGTCCTGACAGGGCATCCAAGCCCCCCACCCCCGGGTGCAGAACAGCGGGGGATGCCCTGCAGCCAGTGATGGTAAACTAGAGGACGATTGGCCCGAAAGCATTTTTCCACAGGCGCTCATCCAGCCGCGGAGACACCTTTTTACATCGCTGCGGCGAGCGTGCCTGCGCGCGGCGATGCTCAGTGTGTATGGTCACATGAGAGCTCCATCTCATCATCCTACTTTCCTCTCGAACTGCGCCGCGCGATTTCTCACGAAAGTGGTCTGCGCAAGCTGCATTGTTCCAGGCTGCTGCGCGCAAGTTGCTCTCTGCAACGCTGCTGCGCGCAAGTGCTCTGTGCAAGTTGCTCTGCGCAAGTGCTCTGAGCAAGTTGCTCTGCGCAAGTGCTCTGCGCCAGTTGCTCCGCGCAAGCGCTTTGCGCATGTGCTCTGTGCAAGTTGGTCTGTGCAAGTTGCTCTGCGCCAGTTGCTCCGCGCAAGCGCTTTGCGCATGTGCTCTGTGCAAGTTGCTCTGCGCAAGTGCTCTGAGCAAGTTGCTCTGCGCAAGTGCTCTGCGCCAGTTGCTCCGTGCAAGCGCTTTGCGCATGTGCTCTGTGCAAGTTGGTCTGTGTAAGTTGCTCTGCGCAAGTGCTTTGTGCAATTGCTCTGTGCAAGTTGCTCTGCGCAAGTTGCTCTGCGCAAGTGACTCTGCGCAAGTTGCTCTGCGCAAGTGCTGCCGGAGCTGTGGAATGTACTTCGCATACCATTTTGTACTTAAAAGTTGCGATTTTCCAGCCGGAGCTGCGGGGGTGTGCTCCGCGTACTACGTTTGTACTTAAAAGTTGCGCGGGTGCACGCTCCGCATTCTACGTCTGTACTTAAAAGTTGCGATTTTCCAGCCGGAGCTGCAGGAGGGTGCTCCGCGTACTACGTTTGTACTTCAAAGTTGCGATTTTCCTTGCGGGACAGCCCGCAACACACCGGGACACGCTCTATGTAACTTGGCTCTATGTAACTTGGCTCTATGTAACTTGGCTCTATGTAACTTGGCTCTATGTAACTTGGCTCTATGTAACTTGGCTCTATGTAACTTGGCTCTATGTAACTTGGCTCTATGTAACTTGGCTCTATGTAACTTGGCTCTATGTAACTTGGCTCTATGTAACTTGGCTCTATGTAACTTGGCTCTATGTAACTTGGCTCTATGTAACTTGGCTCTATGTAACTTGGCTCTATGTAACTTGACTCTATGTAACTTGGCTCTATGTAACTTGGTTCTATGTAACTTGGCTCTATGTACCTTGGCTCTATGTAACTTGGCTCTGTGCAACTTGGCTCTGTGCAACTTGGCTCTGTGTAACTTGTCTTTATGTAACTTGGCTCTATGTAACTTGGCTCTGTGCAACTTGGCTCTGTGCAACTTGGCTCTGTGTAACTTGTCCAAGGGCTCCGCACGGAAGAGCCCTTCGCGATGCTTTCGGGAAAACAAAAAGAGCGAACCACTTCTCGTTGACTTGTTTGATTTTCGGTTGGTTCGTTCCTGAACCCAACAAACCAGTTTCGGTTCTCAACAAAAACAAGCCGAGCCCATGCTGAGCCTGTCCACCAGGTTCACTTTGCTTTTGGGTTTTCCGTTTAAACCAACTTTAGAAGAGTCGCAAACATTTGCCTTAAAGATGCCCCGAAGCCTTCATGGGAATATGTTCGGTGTCCTTCCGTCTGGTTAAACATAAGTGACACTGTTTTCACTTGGTGCCAAACAGTTTTAGTGCAATCTGTCTGGGTGTTGGATGGGTTTCCTCTTGGTCTCAGCCCAACAAAAAGGTGTCATCAAACAAACAGCCCCCCTCATTTTTTCCCAAAGAACATCTAAGAACACCGGGCTCCCGGAAACTACCAAGGCAACACGTGAGTAGACATATGAGTAGGGGCCTGCAAAAATAACTATAATGGCGGTTCGGAGTGCCACAAATTAAGTCATGACATTGGGAAAATTGGTGATCGTAATGATTCAGTCTCTTGCCTGGAATTGTCATCTGCCAAAAAACATGTGTCATGTGTCATTTCGAGGCGGGGGGGAAGAAATGCCAAAGAAAACGAAAGGACACTCACTACCCATTGGTTTGTCCAATCCAGAGACATGCCGACAATTTAGATTACCTTTTTACGGGGGTAGTGGTAGCTGGTGGCCGTGTTGGCTGAGCGCTTTTTCTTGACGCCCTCCAACATGATTGTGCTGACCAACTCTCTTCATGGGATCCCTGATTTGGTTTGACATGCTGTCCGGACGTGTTCACCCACTGTTTAAGGGTCCTGAAAAAAGGAGGTGTTGGGTTACAACGTTCGTTTTTGGGGCTAGAATGGCCCATCACCACTTAATAGATGGGTGAGGGACAGGGAAAATCAAGGCTTAACCAATGGTGGCGAGGGAAGGAGACAGGTAGCCGTCCAGATGCAAGAATTCTTGGTTGTAGACGGTTATCTGTAGAATACATGACCACTTATCGTCATTCCCTTCGTCAGTCCGGTTCTCTTTCCCTTTCCTTTTTGGAAAGAGAATGCGAGGGAAAAAGATAAGAGAGAAAGGGAGAGAGAGTGAGACAGAGAGAGACGAATGGTAAAGAGAAATTAATCCCCTCACCTTCCCTCTCTCACGCACTTCTCTCCACCACCTGTCAGCTCTTGGAATCGCACGCCAGGTAAACGAACGGAGAGAGTGGGTATGCGAGAGAAAGAGCTGGCCATTCAGCTAAGGTAGCAAGAGAAGGTAGCAAGAGAAGGTAGCAAGAGAAGGTAGCAAGAGAAGGTAGCAAGGGAAGGTAGCAAGGGAAGGTAGCAAGGGAAGGTAGCAAGAGAAGGTAGCAAGGGAAGGTAGCAAGAGAAGGTAGCAAGGGAAGGTAGCAAGGGAAGGTAGCAAGGGAAGGTAGCAAGGGAAGGTAGCAAGGGAAGGTAGCAAGGGAAGGTAGCAAGAGAAGGTAGCAAGGGAAGGTAGCAAGAGAAGGTAGCAAGGGAAGGTAGCAAGAGAAGGTAGCAAGGGAAGGTAGCAAGGGAAGGTCGCAAGGGAAGGTAGCAAGGGAAGGTAGCAAGGGAAGGTAGCAAGGGAAGGTAGCAAGAGAAGGTAGCAAGGGAAGGTAGCAAGGGAAGGCAAGGGAAGGTAGCAAGGGAAGGTAGCAAGGGAAGGTAGCAAGAGAAGGTAGCAAGGGAAGGTAGCAAGGGAAGGTAGCAAGGGAAGGTAGCGCAAGGGAAGGTAGCAAGGGAAGGTAGCAAGGAAGGTAGCAAGGGAAGGTAGCAAGAGAAGGTAGCAAGGGAAGGTAGCAAGGGAAGGTAACAAGGGAAGGTAGCAAGGGAAGGTAGCAAGGGAAGGTAACAAGGGAAGGTAGCAAGGGAAGGTAGCAAGGGAAGGTAGCAAGGGAAGGTAGCAAGGGAAGGTAGCAAGAGAAGGTAGCAAGAGAAGGTAGCAACGGAAGGCAAGGGAAGGTAGCAAGGGAAGGTAGCAAGAGAAGGTAGCAAGGGAAGGTAGCAAGAGAAGGTAGCAAGGGAAGGTAGCAAGGGAAGGTAGCAAGAGAAGGTAGCAAGGGAAGGTAGCAAGGGAAGGCAAGGGAAGGTAGCAAGGGAAGGTAGCAAAGCAAGGGAAGGTAGCAAGAGAAGGTAGCAAGGGAAGGTAGCAAGGGAAGGTAGCAAGAGAAGGTAGCAAGGGAAGGTAGCAAGGGAAGGTAACAAGGGAAGGTAGCAAGGGAAGGTAGCAAGGGAAGGTAGGTAGCAAGGGAAGGTAGCAAGGGAAGGTAGCAAGGGAAGGTAGCAAGAGAAGGTAGCAAGAGAAGGTAGCAAGGGAAGGTAACAAGGGAAGGTAGCAAGGGAAGGTAGCAGGTAGCAAGGGAAGGTAGCAAGGGAAGGTAGCAAGGGAAGGTAGCAAGGGAAAGGCAAGAAGGTAGCAAGGTAGCAAGGGAAGGTAGCAAGGGAAGGCAAGGAAGGTAGAGGAAGGTAGCAAGGGAAGGCAAGGGAAGGTAGCAAGGTAGCAAGGGAGGTTAGCAAGAGGAAGGTGCAAGGGAAGGTAACAAGGGAAGGTAGCAAGGGAAGGTAGCAAGGGAAGGTAGCAAGGGAAGGTAGCAAGGGAAGGTAGCAAGGCCAAGGTAGCAAGGGAAGGTAGCAAGGGAAGGTAGCAAGGTAGCAAAGGAAGGGAAGGTAGCAAGGGAAGGTAGCAAGGGAAGGTAGCAAGAGAAGGTAGGGGAAGGTAGAGAAGGTAGCAAGGGAAGGTAGCAAGGGAAGGTAGCAAGGGAAGGTAGCAAGGGAAGGTAGCAAGGGAAGGTAGCAAGAGAAGGTAGCAAGGGAAGGTAGCAAGGGAAGGTAGCAAGGGAAGGTAACAAGGGAAGGTAGCAAGGGAAGGTAGCAAGGGAAGGTAACAAGGGAAGGTAGCAAGGGAAGGTAGCAAGAGAAGGTAGCAAGAGAAGGTAGCAAGGAAAGGTAACAAGGGAAGGTAGCAAGGGAAGGTAGCAAGAGAAGGTAGCAAGGGAAGGTAGCAAGGGAAGGTAACAAGGGAAGGTAGCCGTACCGGGCCGTCGGCTCACAGCCCGGTATTTACAAAAACTTCTGGCGGGCGGCCCGCAACGGCCCGGTATTTCGCGAGTAAGACGTTTCTTATTGAAAATGCCCATTATTATAACGTTCATAACTAAGCTAATATATGTCAGTTTTCTACGATACATGTATTGTTGGATCCTAAAGCTATTTTTACTGGCAAAAAAATAATGAGAGTGAATGATGAATTGATAGGAGAGGAAGGACATTCTTCCCTCGCCCACTCTCTCACCAAGGAAGGTTGACGCCTCCTCGCGAGTCATTCTCTGAGTTCAACAGCCAGTCAATCAAGATACCAAGAGATAGAAAGGAAATGGAGAGTGGGCTCGTTCTTCATCATGTGTGCTCACCCATTGACGAGTTACCGCGAGCGAAGGCAGCCGGGAAATGGGTGTGAGAGGGAGAGAGAGGGCGAGAGCGAGAGAGAAAGAGGGAGAGAGAGAGCGAGCCATCACCAGAAATTTACTGTCATAATCTCATTTACAAGCTGGACATGGGTAAGGAAGCCTGACAAAGAAGAAAGCCACATATCAGGATGAAGAGACAGCCTAGAGCGGTAAGGAAGGGGAATGAATCCTGAATTTGAATGTGTTCAGCATTTCTGAGTGACAAATATTGCCGTTCAAAATCCCAAAATCCAGGATGCAAAAAAAAAAGACCAATAATTGTTACTTTATTACTTCTTTCACGGGTTAATCCTGGATGCAGGAAATAATCTTAGAATTCCGGATCTCTGGTTGCCTGTCACTATGACCAAGTAAAAAACAGTTGTTAACATGAAAAGGAACAAGTGTCTGAGATTCTGGGAATCAACCCGCTGTAACGACAATATAATGGAATCCTTGACATCATATCCATTTTCCATTTGTTGGCTCTCTCTGGTCAGGATTATTAACTCGCTCACGGTCATCGACATGAATGAGAGAGCTGACATCTCTTTCTCACTTCTCATCTCTTTTTGATTTGAAGATGATTGGAGAAGTGAGATGACTATAAGATAATTCCCTTCCTCACTGCATTTGGGTCTGGATTCTAGAGTTACGCCTCGGATAAAAAATGCCTTAAATACCCCTATGAGGCATAAGTGCAGAAAGGGCCCGTGCACACCAAGCCATTGCAAGGAGGCCCGGTTGCTGGAAAGTGGCGGGCCTGTCCCACAACCATGATCGAGTTAGGCCCAGTTATAGAATGTATATCTTATTGTTTGCTTCACTTGGAGTCACTGGTAAAATGTAAAATGTATCCTAAGTCTACCCCAGCAACTTTCTGTGGACATGTTGCTGTCACGTCCTCCCGGCCTCCTAGGGACATGATGTTGTGGCCTTTCATCTGCTGCTCGTGGCCCCGGATGATGGTCTCAGCGTACGAAACAAAACGGCTCCCAGTTGCCCGCAAAACCCCTTCTGTAAAAAAAAGGGAGCCCTGATTTCTTGGGAACCGCATCGTTGTCAGTGAAGAAAAACACAAGAAGCGCAAAGGGTGGAATCCGCCTCGGCTCGGCCCGAGGGGCTTCTGCTTTCTCGGCTTCCCGCCTTCAGGCCGTGGGTCCGGAGGAAGTCGAGGGTCACATCTGCGCCGTACCTCAGCCAAGGAGAAGACTTGATTGCTGTCACGACCCAAAAAGTTTAAAACTTTTTGGGGGGTAAGTGGAAAACACCGTTATATCCCAAAAAGTTAAAGTCTAAAGATCCAACCCAATAGCAGGCAAGACTTCGTTTTTGGTTGTTGCTTTTTGTTTGTGATCAAGCGCGGCGCATCTTTGGATCCCTGCTTCGGTTAGTGAACACCAAACAGGGCATGTCGGGCACGGTCAACATTGCATGCCCTTAGAGAATCTGGGAAGATTGGTGAGACCCCTGGTTTTGGGGGAAAACCTAGTGAGCATAGTCCCTCCGAACACATAGACCCCGCCCACCATAGCTTTGACCAATCCTCATGTCAGGACGCCTGAAAAAGGATACTGGCTTTGGGGAGCGCAGGCATTGTCCTCACACAAAGGGACCCCTGCAGCTCTTGAAACACATGCTTTATCTTTGAAAAAGAAAGACCCATATACGGGTTTCTGCTGGTTTCCCTTTCAAACCAACCAGCAAAATAAGTTTGCCAAAAAAATGACACACCCATGTGACACTTCAAACGCTTGCCTCCGATTCACGGAATGCCCTTCGAAGCTCGCTTCGTCCTTGGGCCAGAAATTTCTACCTGTGCTCCCCAAGGTTTGCTTGGGGGGCATACAACCAACGGGGTTCTTTCAAAGGAAAAATGCATGCACTTGTCTTACCTTCGGGGCGACTGTTTGGTACTTGACGTTAGAGGGTTTTGCTCCCTCCCACAACCATACAGACGCTTCAGGCCAAATTGTTTTCCACCGGCCTGGCAGAAACATTGGCGATTTGGGTGTCATTCTGTTGGAAGGCACGCCCTGGATAAGCTAGCGTTCGCCGTGTTTTTTTCTCCGCGAACCAAAGGGACGTACACAACTCGACCGTTTCGGGGGCAACCCGAGCTGCATCTTGATGCCCGGCCCGCGCCGCGATGGCACCCACCCGCGCTGCTCGGTGGGGTCTGACCTACGAGGCGAGGGCGCCTCGAGCGCAAAGGGCCGGGATTTGTTGTCTCAGCGTCCCCCAAGAAAACCGCAAGGGGTTTACCCAGTGTTTGCTGTTGAGCTTCCACCCCCTCAAAAGGGGCTGTTGGATGGCCAAAACGAGAAGACAACTCCACAAGAATGAGGATATATCTGGAAAAGGGGTCGAATCAAACAAACTATCCCTTTTGGTTTCCTGTAGGACCACGAAACGACCGCACCCAACAAATGGTGGTAGGCCAGAAACATATGTCGAAACCACAACTTTCATGGTTTCTCAATTTCAACAGCCGCAAATGTTTTGTCCATATAACGCACATCCTCTCCTTTTCCGGATGAACCCGAAACTCCACGTGTTAAACCCTCAAGGTTCCACTCCTGGAGAAGATGCCCGGTCATTTGGTGCATTTTTGAGGGCAGCACCCTTTAACAACAAAAACGCTGGGGGCTTAAATAGCCACAGATCCCACCCTCCACATCTGGCATCAGCAAGACCCGGCAACAGCATTTGCCACAACCACCCTTCACCAGCGCACCCGAAGACGAATTTGCAGGTTCAACAGCACCAACAGTATCGCTCCCCACCCCCCCCCCAAATTTGGTTAACGCTGTTGGAGCCCAAAATGCGGTGCCCAGTTCTTGCATCCCAAGTGGGCAACCAAGAGAAACAACAATTTCCCAACAAAATAGATCATGTCTGCTGGCGTCCTTGGGTCGTAGATTGGGACCCACTCAGGTGAACGGAAGCTGCAAGCTGGCTATCTTCACGCGACCTTCGCGAATTGACCCCTTTCGGCCCCTTGGTTTTGATGCCCAGGCATGCTTCTAGAACAGAAGGGCCCGCCATGCCGGCGTTTGTTCCTGCGAAAAGAGATATGTTGCGTGCTGCGATACTACTTTTGCAGTCTTGAACCGCGCCATCGGCTAAGAAATCGCCACTACGTTCCTTATCTTCTCAATGTTTCTTGTGCGATTGCAAAATGCTGTTTGCATGTGTTGCAGGTGTAACGAATTTGCAGAGACCAGGTGGCTTCCCTTGCCTCTTGGCAGAGGCCGGGCGCTCGGCAGAAAATGCAACAAACAATGTCAACAAAATCTATGTAGATTACGAATGCTTGTGAAATTGATGGGTGGATTCTGATTTTGTTTTGCATAAACTCGTGTCGTGAGCGGGCGTGTTTCTAAATTTGAGAAACAACATCAGGGAACAACAAGCAAAACAGACAATCGGTTTTGGGCATCTCCGAAGCATTCTTCTGAGGGATTTGTTTCTTGATGTTCCTTGAGTTGTTTGAGTTTTTGGTTTTCCTCGTTTCTTCTTGGGGTTTTGGGGCCTCGAGGTCTCAGATGCTGCAGACACGTGCTTCAGTTCCTTTTCGCACAACAACCCAAGACTGTCAGCTTCGACATCTTGTACAGATTCCGCGCAATTGGAGCATCTGCAGTGCTCCCCCCAGCATTGGACAACAAAAAGACAGCTAGTTTGCCCTTATTATATGTATATAGATTCCACCACTTATTGAACTCTACTCAAAATCCTAGTTGGAAAGGAATTCCTATTCAACACATGACACGCAACAATAACAAACTCATATGAGTTGTGGCTTTTTGGTTGTGTGAGCCTTATCATTTTTACTTGCTTGCACTACGCCACGCCTACGAGAAACGCAACAGTCCGACAAAAACGCCTACGCGAGACCGAGCTGACTACATACCTGCCTAGGCCGCCTACGCGACAACGAGGCGCTCAACCTCAGCTACGGAGAGGTTTGTTTGCGACCGCGCTTGGACGGGAGCACGGTGGAAGGTCACGAAGAAGACGAGCTTGAAGTCGGCCACGGTAGGCTGCAGTGCAGGAACGGGGTGAAACGGAGGGTGCCACGAAGGGCCTCCAGTCAGATTTTAGACGAAATGCCTACGCGAAGCCTACGCGGCGCCTAGGCGAAATCCGCCTGTTGTTTTTAATTTTTCGGAAGATGCTTTGTACCTATTAGCGCAACGGGTGTACTAGCAGCCACGCCGCAGTACGAGTTGCCAGCTGCACTGCTGGACAAGCGGACCTTCCCCTCCCTCCGCCAGCAACCGCCAGCTTGCGCCATGCTGCAAATAACAGCTGGCGAGAAGCTGCTACCCACAGCTTGCGCCAAACCGCTACTCACAAATGGTCACATAACCATGTTTTGCATAACAATGCTCAACATTCAAGCTCATAAGCGGCCGCCGACGCGACTGCCTACGCGAAGCTTCGCAACACCAGCCTCCGCGAAATGCCTACGCATGCCTACGAGGTTTTGGCCCCCGTTTGCCAAACGCCTATGCGGTCGCCGCGAAGACGTCGCTTTCATTCCAAAAAACGGACGTTCATATGTTAAATCCAAGTAAGTATGGGAATTCAATTAAGTTAAGTAGAAGAAGCAACCAGCTTGTCTTTCCTTACCATATTCTACCTGATGTCTCATTGACACATTCTGTTTGAATTTTACTCTGAGATACTTGGAACATAATTTCGATTCAAAAACGATTCCTATCTAACAATATCACTCAACTCTGTTGGGCCGAAACAAGGACAAGCTCGAGCCTCGAAACATTTTGGCAGCCTACTACGTGCACCAAAACCCAAGATTGCAAAGAGTGCTGGCTGCGTTGAAAATGCACCGGCAGAAATGCATGGGAGTGGTTTGCCAGGCCGCTGTGGAAAGTATACAGTAGAAGACTGATAATCAGAGAAGTCTGCTCGTTTTCGGGGCTGCTCTTCCTGTGATACGCGTTTGTTGAATCCTTGTTATCTAGTGGGTATTGAATGAGTGCTGAACATTGCAGCAGATCCCGGTCAGTCACGTTCATGCTGATTCACATGGACTTCCGCGGTGTGAGTCCCCGCGCATTGCATGAAGTGCTGTGTGGCCTGTTCGTATCTCATGTGCGCGAAACACTGTAAATAATGGGTCAACAGACACACACATGGGGACTTGGCGAGTCGTTTGTTGACATTTGGAGAACCTCAGGGTTTGGACCTCAAACGACCCGGAAAGACTGACCGCCGGCTGGAACCAGCCGGAATCCATCGGCGCGTCGGCCGAGGGCTCGGCCACACCATCATTTGCCCGATCTCAGGGGTGAGGCAATGCTTAAAGTCTCCGCCTCGCCAAAAAAAACATTGTCAGCCCACAAGCCCAAAGCTCACAACCGCTTGAACAAACGGCAGTTGGTGTCTGTTTTTGTCTCCGGCCGGCACGCATCTCTTCGAACCTTTATTCTGGGAACATGTGCGGCTTAGGAACGGTTTCATCGTCCCTTTCATTGCCCGGCACCACATACGGAGATGGGGATGGAGGTCTTGTGGGGAAATACGGAAGGACCCGGAAAACCCAAGAAGCCTAAGAAACCTGATCCTGATCTTTAGGGACAGCATCCTGTTGCCACCGCAGGGCCATTTTTCTCCCCGCAGCCCGTATTTGTTTAAAACCATGTTGTCAAACTAGTCGTACATGACCGTATGGCCATTCTCTGCGGCCCAGCTATGTATATCCAATACGGGAAAAATTGGCGGGGGGGGGGGGGGGTTAATCCAAGAGCACGTCCAGTTGACCGACGGCTTGAGGCTTTGCTTTTCGCGCAAATCGATGAGTAGGGTGAGTAGGGTGACTGGCTCGAATGCTGTTTGCTCCTGGCTTCCCTCGCCACATTTGAGACGCACCGTGGGATTTATGTGATCCGTGGCTTTGAAACACGTGCGCACTGGCGGGCCGCGTGTGGCAACATCCTGATGACTTTTGATGTGCAAATTGAAACCAACGGATTTTGAGCCTGGGTCCGTCGAACGGTCTTTCTGAAAAGAACCAATTTGGAAGGTGGCATCGTCATCCACATATTCGAGAACTAACAAAATGCTATCCGCGATGCGAGTCCAAACTTGGTTGGGACCAGGCCTGGGTTCGATCGCGAAACCGTTTTCAGCTGTCCCGATCATCGATTCGCAAAAATGTTCACAGGCACACTGGACATTCGCTTCGATTGAGGTCGATTGGGCCAAATGAGTTTGACGAGCTCATCTGGAGCATCATTTGCAAATCACCTAGTGCTGAGGTGCAAACTTGCTCTGATCAAGTTGGGAAGGAACCAATGATGCATCTTTAGGCACCCCTAACCTCAATAGCGCTTGGACCCCATTTGGCATAGGTGACCTTTCGGGAAAATACATGACCTTTTATGGAATAGCAATCCAAACCAGAGCCATCTGTTTCTCCAACTCGCCGATGCCAAAAGCGGGCCGAAAGTGGCGCCTCGGCAGGCCCGCACGAACTCGGGGCTGATGCCCCCATGGGTCGCCAAAAACTTCTCTTTGCAGACCGCGATGTAGGGCAAGGCCTGGATCGAGTCGAGGTGATCCCCAACACGAAATCGACTCGAAAGGTCTCGTGTATTGTTCTCCATGGGGAAGCCAGGGCTGGTAAGAGCCCAGGGGTTGATGGGGGAGAAGTGAGAGAGTGAGGGTGTAGGCGGAACACGTATGTTTCAGGGATAATTGTGGTTTTGCTAGCTCACATCCAAGCAAGAGTATTCAAGAACTTCACCTTGCTGAACTTTGATAATTTTGCTTGCTTAGCTGGCGGGCTTTCCTGGATCACCGCCAGTTCAATGACCTCTTCCGGAGGTATCCCCGGATACGAGCCAAGGGGGCGGTGTTTGGCACGCGGGAGACACACGCGCCATGGAAAAAGCGTCCTTGGTCGATCATCTTTTGGCGGCATTTGGGCTCCAAAACAAAACAAATATAATTTGATATTAGAGAGCATCTTAGTGAAGCTTAAACTGCAAACCAATGTCATTTGACAGGTCTCAGACTTCTGCCCTGTCCTATTCCACCAGTTCCTCAAATCCGCTGCGCTGAAGCTTCACCAACGCGCCGCGGAAAATGACCCTACGTGTGACAGCAAACTGGCGGATTCCCATCACCACAGTAAAACTAACAAGGCCCAAACCATGGTCATGGTTGCCATCCTTAACCTGTTCGGCTCACCCCCAAGTAAAGGGGTCGAAAATCTCTGGATTCCCCGTCAAAAGTTGGCATTTTGCTTATTATCCACTTCAGGGAGTCCCAGTTGGCTCATTCGACCTCCGCAACTCGGATCGCCTGAAAGGTCTCCTGGAATGCACCCCACGCCATGCGCCCATAACGCTCGAACTTGTAGGCCAGCTCGTCCCCGAAGCCGTAGGCCTGCTGCGTGCTCCTGGAAACCGGCGGCCATGGATCGAAACCAATGGGATCCCATTTTGGGATAGGTGCACCACCCATTTTAGAATCGATTTTAGTGGGGATTGGGATGTTCACTGCGGGTACAAAGTTTTGACACCTGGCCAGGTGTTTCAGTTGATGTCCCCATGGCCCTTCCTTTATGCAGCAACCTCAGCTGGGCGCTGATGCAAACTTCCAGACAACGGGGACTGGACTGGACCCCACGGTTCTCAGTTTGAACCGTGGGGTTTCCTTCAGCTGACCGAGTCGAGCATGAGCTTTGCATTCGCGAAGCCGCGCAAATGCGATCTTTAAACAAGCCAACCTGAAAAGCTGGGCTGCCCGTTTTCAGATCCCCCGCTAAAAGTTTCACTAACTTTCGGTAGGTTAAATGGAAACCACTGAACACTAAAAGGGTAAAAAGCTAAGAGGATGAATGGGAGCCAACCTTGAAAAGTATACCCCACGTACACACGGAACGATTGAAGGTTGGAAGGGAACCCTCCTCTACATTTGAAAATGGTCATCATAGGTTGCAGTGACATCCTTTAACCGTGGCTTAAAAAGGAAATCACCGGACGACGATCACGACTCTGGAAACCCCTAAACATGCTCTTTTGTAGGGACGCTGCATCGGGGCGGGAAACTCCCTCCCTTCGGTGCGTTCGCCGCTTCAAGCGAAGAACAGGGATGGCCACAAAACTTGAGTTGAAGGGTTGCTCTCCCCGAGAAATCCATCACTTGGCAGTGTTCCCCACCGGGGAACAGCCCTGCGGAGCTACACCATCTGCAACCCGGGTCCAAACTGATTCTCAGAGACATGAAACTCAAAATGGGTCCTTTTCGGTTGCTTGTAGCACAACCCAAAGAGCGTATCCTCAAGACAAGGACGCCCAACATGTTGCTCTTCCTTTTGGATTCCCTTTTACACCAAGGTGAAAAGCGCAATTACCGAAGACAAGACACAACATGACACACCCAAGCATATTCTTAGCCCTTTGAGCCATGACGAATGTACCTAAACCCGCTCTTGCCTTCCACAGCATGACGCATGGCATGCGACTCTAGCTGCCCACTATTGAGCTGCTGCCTAGACCGGCGACCATGGGAAAACCAAGGTGCGGTCAAATCACGACAATGGCCTTTTCATGGGCGTCCCCAATAGGCGTCCTTTGAGTCCCCCAATAGGCGTCCTTTGCGGTCAGTTTATGATTCAACTGGTTCCAGTTAAGTTTTCCAGGGAACCAATCATGTTCATTCTGGTTTGAACATGTTTATTCTGCGGGGAACGACAAGGGGGAAATTGAGCAACTGGGATGGGACAAAATGATGCTTATGATAGGGCTTCCTCATGCTTCATGACCAGCACTTTGAACACGACGTCCAATGGCTTCGAAACGAGCCATGGCAGATGCTTCAGGGTTTAGATGATACGTTGCTTGCCTAGGGAAACAACAGGGTAACCATCCCTACCCACAGTTCCCTTAGTCCCCAAGGAGAAAAACACCACTTGCGTTTGCCCCTATGCAACTACCAGGTGTGCTCCGCCCGCCCCCGCGGTCGTCTGCTCGTGGTTGCCTCGGCTCAAGGTCAAAGCGCGAGTCAGCATGAACCTGCCCCGCCTCCCCCGGCGAGTGTCAATCCAAATTAAAACTCGGTGCAAATATGATCAATTTTGGGAGGCGTGTTCCCCTTTTTGCCTGCCCTGCAAAAGCAGAAAAGCTAGTACCCAAATGGCCCAAAGGCACGTCCGGCTCAGTCATGCCCTTCGCCGACCGGGTCTTGGAACTGTGTGGTCCACATTAAACGTGGAACAACACCTTACATTGGAAAACACAAGGCGTCTCTCTCCCGAAACGGGCTTGGACAAATCGATGTTGGATATGTGTGATACTCGACACCCGTGTCAAATACCCCGAAACCACGCGGGATGGACTTCGCTGTGTCCCGGCCTTGAACAGTTGGCACAAGACGTTACCAGCAACTAGCTACCATGGGCAGTTCGTATCTCAGCTGTGTGACATGCACCCTAGATTATGGAGTCCTTGAGCCCTAAAGGCAACCCTGAAGAACCCTAACCCTAAAAGGGATCACTGCCCACCCCGCTTGTATCTCCCAGTGTAGCCTAGCGGCCCTTCTAGTTGGATGCCCCGTTTCCATCCGAACACGGGTCACAAGGCCTCCCCTCATGTGCCTAACAAAGACGTTGGCTGGGAACCCTTGCTTCACTCCCAGGTTGGGGGTCGGGTTGGTTGGCCAGCCTCTCTCGGACTAGAGCTGCCTGTTGGCTTTGGCTTGGTGGCAGTTCAGAAAGCTTGGGCTGGTTTTGGGTGAGTGTTGGGCTTGCTGAGGTGTGAATGAGGGCGGGTCTTGGGTTTGTTTGACTGCCTTCATTAAGACCTCAGCAAGCCCAACACTCACCCAAAACCAGCCCAAGCAACTCTGAACTGCCACCAAATCAAAGCCAATAGGCAGTCCGAGCGAGGCCAGTGATGCTGGGTACGTGGCCGCCAACCAACCAACCAACCAACCAACCAACCAACCAACCAGCCAGCCAGCCAGCCAGCCAGCCAGCCAGCCAGCCAGCCAGCCAACCAGCCAGCCAGCCAGCCAGCCAGCCGGTCCCCTTGCCGGTGCTAAGCGCCGAGCCGGGGCTGGTAGTTTCACATAGCGGCTCCCTTTAGGAAGGCCCAACAAAACCCAAGAAACACAGGGTTCACGCCTGTCAAAGTGGCGCGACATTTTGTTAGAAAGGTGGTGCTGCAACAACTTGGAACAAATCAAGCTTGAACAAAAAGAACGTCCGCCATGCATGGCAAAGAGGGTCCTGGCAACCTCCTGCCATGCGCGCGAAGGACTCTCAGCCCAGTGGCCATGGCAGAAAAGGGAAGACCCTTCCAAAGAAAGGGAAACTTGGAGGGACCCCCAAAATGGTGGGTTTCCTTTTGGTTTCCATTTAAAACCGCCTAAACAGTGGTAGTCTCAAAGCCACGTACCCAAAAATCCAACCGTCTCGCGCTTTAGCGAGTGCTTAGACGCCACAAGGATCAGCCGTAATTGTTGCATTCAAGTCTTTGCGGACACGCTGTTGGTCTTGGGAACTCCAGCATAGCCCTACCCCAGTTTGACACATTCGCAATGCGGCTTCCGCGGCCTCAGCCCGAACTCGATTTCGGAGACCTCGCCACACGACTGCCAAGTTGCCCTGCAGCAGGATGATGCCGTCGGGACACTGAGCCTACGGGCGAGGCAAGAGCTGCGGCTTGGTCATCGAAGGACCACCCTTGCAAGGGAAACTCTTCACTTCGATGATCCAAATCTTCAGTTCGATCCTCCGGTGGTGAATAGTACCACATTTCGTTGTCAAAGAGCCAAACCGGAACAACAGGGTGGCACCATCTCTTTTGGTGAATCGAGGGGAAAACCCTTCCCCCCCAAAGAAGTCGGGACCAAAAGGCGAGGCCCCCCGCACTGATCTCCTGGCCTTATAGGCGAGCAACAGCACGCTGGTCTCGAGACCCCTCTCGCCTGAATGGGTGGAATCCCCCCCCCGATGCCCACGTGTCCCGTTAAAACCAACCATCAAGCGGCGTCAACAAAAAAAACGCGGGTTCTGCACGGGCTCCTCCTATAATTCAGCGTTTGTGCACCTTTGCTCCCACAAACACAGCACCTGTAGGGTGTGGAGGGAACCCTGTCAGCTGCCATGTTTAGGGTACCTGGCGTTTGACAACAAACGAAAACTGGGTCCGCAAGATTCAGTCCAATCATTCACATCACGCCTCGGTCCACATAGTCGCCCAAGAAGATGTACCTTGCGAGGTACACTTGAGGGCCCTGCTCGCCAATTCTAAGCCGATCTAAACCTATGAGGGATCAACAGAGGGAAACTGAAAAATGGGCCTTCCCGGTAAATTCATTTAATCCTAGCCACCCTGCTACGACTACAATGAAAGTGCGTGGGGCAGCTGGGATCCCCAACTGGGGGTGACAAAATCTGAGCAGAATATACGAAATGCGATTCACCGATACATATGGGTCAAGAATATTGTCAGCCTCTTTTGGGTGTATCTTGCTTGGAGGCTGTTTTGGCCTGTTATTGAAAGGTGCAAGGGCAACCACTCAAGTGTATATATATATATATATATATGGGTGTATCGTTTTCGAGGCTAGGGTTGGGGCAAGGAACAACACCGCTTTCAAAAAATGGACGCTCCATGTCCCAAAAGCATCGCCGTCTTGATTGCTACGAGCCAGAAACCAAGCTTTCCATCCAGTAGCCAAATGGCCGTATCTGAACATAGGGACCTCCCCCCAACCACAAAAACAAAGAAAGGTGGTTTCCTCTTGGACATTCCTAAAACGGGTACGCTGAACAAGACATGCACATATAGATGCTGACGGCTCAACAGATTTGCCGAGTACCCATGCGACAAAATTATCGAGCAAAGTCAAATAAGAGGCAATTGATGTTTGCTTGCTTCTAAGCAATGGGTTCGCAACGCTCAGCTTGTGTGTGTGTGTGTGCGCGTGTGTTAAAAGGTATCCCTATCATGCCACCTCGTAAAGCACAAGGGTGTGTCCAAGGTTCTACAGTATGCGACGGCTTCCACATAACTCATAAAACGGAGAGTGGAATCACTAGGCATAAGTTTGGAAAACATGACATACACGACATGCGAACACTTTCGGATTCTTTTCCAAAACCCGGCTAAAGGCAATGGCAACAAACTCGGTCTCTCTTGAAACACCGTCTAAAGGGGGAGAGACTTTCTGCCAAACCAATTCATTGAAGGGCATCAACCCCCTTTTTGGGTTCCGCCCGTTGATAAAACACGGCACCGTTCTTTGGTAGCTGATTTCAAGGGAGGACCCCCTCCCAGAAGGACAAA